TATCTTTAAAATTTTACAAAAATTGCCTTTTAGCGGTGAGATAAAACAAGCAGCAATAATGTGTGTGTATAGCGCTTAGAGACTTCGGTGGTAAGCACTTTATAAGTAACGTTTTTATTATTATTATTATCATAATTATGTTTGTAAAACGGCAGAACTTTGTTGCGCTCAATGGAGACAAAAGTATCAAATCCTGGTGAGCTGCAGGGACGTCTTTCAAAACCAAGTCGGTTCGATTGCGCCCCTTGGAAAACATCAAACCTCATTCGTCAATTACCAGTCAATAATAAATAATTCGTCAATAATATTTATATATTATGTACCTACTTTGTAGATTACTTTGTTATTATGTTGAAAATGCAGAAATACAAGCAAACAAACAAACAAACTTTAAGTGGTAACCTCCTTGATTGAAATGTGTCCTACCTCCCCGATAAAATATGCCCCTCCTCCTTTCCCTTCCCCCCAGCTTGAGCATTGATTGACACCCCTGTCCTTAAATTCAGACTTTATAGCCCTTACACACCAATTATGACCCAAAATGTTCATGAAATACCTTATTTATTCATGAAGTATTAGGAGTCAAGCTAGAAATAGGATTAGACTGGAACAGAGACTGTCTCATTCCCTCCCACCCAGCCTGATGGGTATGTAATGAGCTTCGTCGTGAAGTTGATCGTTTGGTGGAAAAACACGAGCCACACATGGTCGAAGGAGTAAATGGCACTGACCTACAAAACTCGTAGAAGTGAAGAGACGCAGACGGCAGACATGACATTTAGGCCCTGGCATTATTATTTCATTAAACAAAGATTTAATCTGAAATTGACCATGGTCTCGATCAGAGAGCCCCCACCCCGCTCCCCACTATCGGAAATCCAGAGAGAGAGAGAGAGAGAGAGAAAGAAAGAGAAAGAGAGAGAAAGAAAGGGAGAGTGTGGAGATAGATAGGGGAGGGAGAGATGGGGAGGGGGAGGATGGACAGGCAACGATGCCCTTCCACACCCTTCCCTCTGTCCATGGCCGTATTCTCTTTGGATTGCATCCACCTGATACTTCTGGTCCCGCCCCCACCCCCCCCCCCTCTCAATGGTGAGACACATGCTCTGTTGTTTTTGTCACACATCTCACTGATTATCTTTTCACTTGAAATCATCAAACGATTCAGCTGTAACCCCACCCCCTCCCATCAGCTACACAATTCCAGACATCATCGAGGATAACTTTTGTCGGGAAATTGTTTCATGTGGTTATTTCCACCGGAAAGCCTTTTTTTCTTCTCTTTCTTCTTTTTTGTTGTTGGTACATGAATTTATCTCTCTCCCACGTGTCGGATGTTTTGATTTCTCCACGGACGATCTCATGCCCTTGACACTGTGGGGTAAAACAACCCAGTCTTGAAGAGAAATGATGAGACATGCAACGACTTAAATTTGTGGATGTTTCTCTCCCGCATTTTCTTGTCTTATGCGCTCGCATCTGTAGAATACATTGTGACGTCACAAATAACATATCTCGTCTTGTCTCATCCCACGTCGTGTTTGCCTTGAACCATGGACCTACTAAGTAGGCCCATGCTTGAACTCAAGAAATTGAGGACAGTCTAGCATCTTGTCGAGTGAGAAAGAGAAGAAAGAAAGAAAGGAAGACAAAAACATATATATAAATCATTGTTATGCTAAAAGGAAAGTAGTTAGAAAAGTATCGTGCTAACACGTTATAAATGAAATTTATACATCCGAGGGTGTTTTTAAAGGTTTAAATCCTGATGTGTTTTTTCTGTCCATGCTGTTCAAGTTCCTACGTCTTTGGGAATTGTTAATTCTAATCAATTCCAGGTCTTAACATTCGTATTAAAATCGATATCAATTTTAAGGCTTGATAAACCCCTCCCCCACTCCCACCCCACCCTACCGCGATGAACTCCTGCTGCGCTTTCAAAACGATGTTGACGATAAGCAGAGTACTCCTGACAGTTGGTCTGTTTCCATCACAATGACATCTGCAAATGAAGTTTCCTAACTATCTCTGACATTGATGTTATACGCATAATTTCTCAGAATTATGTATGATGTGTTTTAGATTTTGTAAACCAAGTTTGACAGATAATGGTATAATGGAGTAATGTAATCCTACGCCCCTGGCAATGGCTGGCATAATACTTGGCTAGATGTCAGATTGGGTGAAAGTTTTGTAACCAACAATCTGGTCATTGTGTTTTATTTTTTCGAATTAATATTCCTGTCTTTATGCGTGGCATGGTATATCTAGTGGCTTACGTGCGAGGGAGGGGCACTTGTCGCACCGTTCAATTGGAATCAAAACTTATTTAAAGAAAGGAAGATAGCTGGTGAAGGGGGAAAGAAAGGTTAGGGAATGAAAGGGGAGAAGGGGTGGGGAGAGATTGAGACAAAAGGAAAGTAGGCGACACGACACCAAACACTTCGAAACATACCCCACACGCTCTATCGCTTCGCTTCCTCGCTTATCGTCCTTTGTTTAATTCAGATGGACCGGTGCGACACCCTTCCCAAAGAGTTAATTAAATAGGCGTGGCAAGAGTGAGATGAAAATCGAACTTCCGGACATATTTCCCCAATACTTGATCGCTTCGCTTTCTCGCCGTCAATCCCGCAGTGAGACCAGGGACCCGTCTTAATATGACGAGTTGCGATTTATCCAAATCAATCGCAAGCTTACTGTCTCATATCTGTTATGTACATAGATACGATTGATATCAATCTCAAATAATTTTTTATTAGATGAGGCCCAGACACCCCCCCCCCCCCCCCCCCCCCCCCCCCCCCCCCTAGAAAAAAAAAAGCAGACTGGACTTACGCTCCGCCACTAATCATGTCAAGGAGACACAAGAATTTTGATATCATGTTTTCAGAACATTTTTCATCTTTGGCCTTTCAATAAAGTTCCCCGAGAGAATAAAAACATGATTGGGTCAAGGTGTGCATGACAGAAATTTGATTTCAACGAAATTGGATGTTTTGTAAAAATTTGCTGGAAGCAAATACAGATAAATAAAATGTTCAAAGGGAACAAAAAGAAATGTAATCGTTGGTTCCTTGGAATCCAGACATTGGAATCAGTTGAATGAGATATAGTGCTTTCTTGAGTCGATGTGATTTAGAAAAACCCTCTATCATTCCCCATCCCATTAAAAGATATAAAGGATTGAAAGGCAGATGGCGTTATCATCAAAATGGATTTATGAAATATGCTTGTGGTAGGAAGATCGCCAATAAAAGAGAGCCGAACTCATATCCAAAGAATTTGACGATTATAGTTTTAAGTTTTCTCTTTTTCTTGCTTACTTCCTTCTTAAAAAAATGCCCCCTCGCTCCCCACTTTCTCTCCTTCTCTCTCTCTCTCTCTCTCTCTCTCTCTCTGTTTCTCTCTTCCTCCGTCCCCTCCCCTCTCTCTTCATTCTTTCTCCCCTCACTTGTTCTTTCTCCTTCTCTACCCCCCCCCCCCCTCTCTCTCTCTCTCTCTCTCTCTCTCTCTTTCTCCCCACCACTCTCTTCCCTCCCTTTATCCAGCTACCACTCTCCTCATCCCACGCCCTTTTTTTTTCTTCCATTCACTACCTCTTCCTGTTACCTTTCTCCCAACCTTTATCTTCTTTCTTCCACCTTCTACCCTCTCTCGATTCTTTTGTATTATTAGTTTATTATATTATCTTAATATTCCAATGATGTGCACGTACATGTACGCACTGGAAATGATTCGTATTATATTATTTCTTTTCCTGGTATTTATTACAAGGACATGGGAGAACCTTAGCCGCTTATATAAAACAAAAAAAAACGAAACGAAACATATCCAAAGAAACCGCTTTGAGTCTTATATTTACAACATTTGTCATTTAAATTTCACATTTTTCATGGAAATGTTTTCATGTCCCTCACGTTTTTTCCGACTCCCAACCGAAAAAAAGATTTGAACTTGAGGGGCAGTCGCTGTGATGCACATGTTTGATTAATATTATAATTTGGATGCAACAAGGACGCAACGATTGACAAACTGAAAACTTTGAATTTATGGAGAAAATGGACAAAAACACACAATCGGATAGCTTAGACAGCTTAAAGGGATCGTTTAACAATGTTAAATCTGAGATAAACGGCCCTACGTGTTATCAGTGTCTGTGATATGATATAATATTGAAGCCCTAAAAAACTTGCGCTTCAAAAGGATCAAGAAGTGCCTCAAAAAAGTAAAAAATCTTTGAGTGACCGGTTTTACCATACTCGTTTTCCCCAATAGACTGTAGTGTTATGAAAACCGTCAGGCGAACGGTTTTCAAAATTTGTAATTCCAATCATAAATATCTTGATAATCAGACAGGCGATCGGCTTGTAAAAGTCACGGGGTTCCTGACTGACCTAAAGGTTTATAATTATCATTGCATCATGAGCTAAATCCAGAATATGTTTTCAGAATCTGAGACAAAGTTACCGGATCCCTTTAACAACTTGATTTTCAGTTCTCAATCAATCTTGCCCAAGATACCTAAAGGAAGATCAAGACGGTCCCATGGTGTAATGGTTAGCACTCGAGACTCTGAATCTCGCGATCCGAGTTCAAATCCCGGTGGGACCTCGCTCTTTTTGTTACTCCAAATATGCTAGTGGATCCAGTCATCGCCCCTACCGGACATAATCTAGTCTGGCGTAATCTAGTCTGCATCGCATCAATTGCAGAATAAAATATATCTTAAAAGATGGAAAAGGACCAAAGACTTACTACTCTTTACCAGATTCAGAGTCAAATACAAGGGTTTTCAATCCTATATCATTACTTTTCTTGAATACTACCAAAATGTATATATATTTTGGTAATGTTTATTTTTAAAGTATGTTCGCAATGTGTTATGCATACACCTTATTATGATGACAATAACTCACTTGAACTTCGTTAACGCTATTTATCATAATTATGATTCTCTCTCTCTCTCTCTCTCTCTCTCCCATTTATTGTGATCTTAGAGTGGGTGGATCCAAACAGATGACGAAGAATACATCATAGAACCTCTGGAAGCCGAGGACCAATCAGCGTACAACATGACTGATGGACACCTCCACGTCATGTACAGGAGGCGGGACTTCAGGTCAGACACGGTCGGATTGGGCGCCGCTAATGGAGGTAAAGATAGGCCCCGCCTACAGGTCAAGCCCCTCTCATTTAGTTATTTGTTTTTCCTAAGAAGTAATTTCTAGACAAACGGGACCACTCCCCCCCCCCCCCCCCCCATAAAAGATACGTTTCCTAGTAAAATGGAAGTGGTTGGATTGTTCACAATCTATCAAAAGCATTGGTTAAAGACATTTCATACGAAACTAATTTGCATCTTGCTTTTTCAGGTCGTTTATACATGAAAAAAGTAATTCATTAATTATTGTACCTTCATATTGATAGCAACTGTTTAAAATATTCTCATGCAGGTCTACTTTGCAGTCAGTTTAGAATTGTATTATTTCGGGATCGTTATAATGACATAACTTACTTTAAAAAAAACGATCAGTAGATGCAATCGTGAATTGAGAATAATAATGTTAGTATGTAGCCTTCATGATCATGGTTCTAGTGCCATAAGAAATAAAGGAAAATGAGTTTTTCAATGATGAAGGACACTCTGTTTTTTTCTTCCTTCTATCTATTTATTTAGCCAAGAAGCAATAATTATTCTTTCATACATTTTTCATTTTATTAAAATATTTGAGGAGTTATATTATAATGTGATGCGCGCTTTTCAAGAACGGCATATTATTATTTTTTTAATCATTATTATTATTATTATTGTTCTTTGTTTTTTGTTATTTTTTGTTATTGTTATCATCACTACAATCCCTCTCCACAAATTCAGCATCCTTCAGCACGAACCTCGTCAATGACACTACTGCTGACCTACCTTTCTTCGACGACGACGAGGAAGACGATCTCATGGACGACCAGGAGACCGACCCATCGACGTCGGCGCATCGGGCAAAGCGGCGAGCGAGTCGGTATGCGGCTGGGAGACAGAACTACGTGGAGACGATGATCACCGTGGACGCGGCCATGCACTCTTTTCACGGGGAGTCGTCGGTGAACATTTATGTCATCACGATGCTTCATATTGTAAGAATTTTTTTTAGATATTTTTTTTTTGTCGTTGCAATATGGGGGCAAATAAGCGCCAGGAAACAGCGCAGAAAAACATGAAAAAGGAGAGAGGGCTTTAATAAATGGTCAACTTTCTTGAGACAATATAATTGATTTAGCGTGTTTAGGCTCAAACGTTAACTAACCTTTTGTTATGTGCATGATTTTAAATGCAATATCAAAATCGGTGAGAGAAATTTAGCGACAACATTGCAGATCGAAGAAAGCAGATTTACTCTTTTTTTTGTGTAGTACTGGTAACTGGTAAATAATACCTTGTCCTTCAGTATGAAAGTTTTATCAGAGAATGTTTAAAGTTATGAATAATATATTTCCCTTGTCATGGCACTCCTGTTCATATTATGAATATTTATTTATTTGGATAATTTTTTTATAACTTGTTTTTTATTTTTATCATTGTTTTTATTTTGTTTGTGACCGTGTAATAAGAAAAGTTTCCTTTTAGTAACGAAGAGGTAGCTCTTTGGGTTTTAGATGGGATGGTAGCGCATTATAGCAGGGGCGGATCTAGCTTTTTGCTAAGGGGGGGGGGTTGACCAAAATAATGACGATGCAGAGCATCGTCCACGAGTCGCGTAGCGGCGAGCCGATTTTTTTTGGGGTGTTTATTTGAACCCCGTAAGTGATGTTTTCCTGGCATCTATTAACACAATGGAGACCATAAAAAGCAGTGCATGATAACGTCTTTTTAAATCAAGTAACAGCTTAATACACAGTTATATCCAGCCTTTTTATCATGTGTTTGGTTAAGTTACCAGATGAGTTGAATATCTTCTCACAATATTTGCACTTGAATGGGTTTCTCTCCAGCGTGCGTTCTTTTTTCTTTCTTTTTTTTTTTTTTTTTTTCTTTCTTTTTTTTTTTTTTTTTTTTTTGGGGGGGGGCCGCCCAAGGGGGGGGGGGGTTGAACCCCCTAAACCCCCCCCCCGTAGATCCGCGCCTGTATAGGGAGGTTAGCCAGAGTCCCTTTAAGTATGAAAAGGGACAGTAAGTACACGACACAACATGCAATTGGATTCTCCGAATACTTATAACTTAATCTGAAGATCCCCTCTTGTGAATCCCACTCATATGCATGAACATTCGGGAGAGAGACGAGTCGAACGGCTGCGAAGAAAGCCTCTCTCACACTGCGAATTTTCCCGAACTCCTTTTTGAGTTTTAGTGGATCAGCAAGAGACACATCGTTAAAATAGTTAACACGAGTTACACCGAGCTATGCCGAAGTTTATGAGTTTTTCACGAGGTAACTCGGTGCTTAGTTTTGATTGGGTGTAAATCTTCCTTAAGCTTCGGATGCCTTCAAGTTGAAGGCTCTCCGCACGAAACGCTTTACGTATTTTTTAACATGTTGCGAAATGCTCATTAAGATTCTTAGCGAGGTATGCCGAGTTCTTTCGGTAGTTCTTCATAGTGATCCCGAGTTGTTTCTCCGAAACCTTCTCAGGTTTTGAAGGGCAATTACGTGTTTCTTTAGTTCTTCATGAGCTATGACAAATAAATTCTGTCTTCTTTCCGAGGAGAGCCAAATTTTTCCGAGTTATTCCGACGCTCCCATTCTCTTTAAGCAGTGCCGAGCTATCCTGGGTTGTTTTGCGAGTTCTTCGGGAGTTTCGCCAACTTTTTTAGAGTCGCTCGAATTCTTTCCGTATTACAAGTAATGCCGAGCCATCCCGAGGCCATTTCCGAGGGGGGGGGGGGGTTCCGGAGTTATGCCGAGCGAGATCGTGGCTCATCTCGGCACTTCGAGTATGACAGGGGTTTGGAATTGGAGCGTCTTCGTGACGAGTGCCGTGACATAAATGTTCATCATTATCCTGTAATTTTGGAAGCAGGTGCTCCCGAAGGCTTCAATGAAACTGTTAATATATTGAATTTGTATACCACGGTGAACCTAATGACGAACTGCTATAGCTGCTGACCGAAATCCTCCCTAGCTCGTCTCTAACCGTCGCCAGGCGGTGCGGTGAACATGAGTAAAATATATATATAGATACCTACGATAGGTAATCTCCGTTTTCAAGGTTATCAAGACTCAAATAAAGCATGGAATGTATGTTGGAGCAGGGAGTTGAAATGGAAACAGTAAATTGATTGACGACAACATCAGGTTAAATAGACCCGCCGTGATGACCACAAACTGCTGCAAATTCGTAGAATATTATTTGTATTACGTATTATGTGCCTTCACTTTTATTTGTACACGGCCTATCACAAGCAAACATGAAGCAACTGTTCTGGGGAGGACGGTGTCTGTGTATACCCCCCCCCCCCCAACCCCGGTTGCCCCCGTCCAGTAGCGTATACGCAGGATTTTTTCAGGGGGGGGGTTAATTTTTTTTAATCGGGCCGAAAACGACTCAGCCAGCCGCTGAACAAGCGGCGGGGGGGGGGGGGGGGGGGGTAAAGAGGATTTTTTTTTTTTTTGTCTAAAAAAAATCGCAACGACTCAGCCAACCGCTGAATAAGCGGGGGGGGGGGGGATATAAGAGGACATTTTTTTTTTTTGGTCTCGAAATTTGAAAATTTGACATTTTGCTCCGTGGGGGGGGGGGGGGGAGGTCACCTTTTATAAGTCAGCCATTGGCACTTTTTTTTGTAATTATAAAAAATAATAAAAACAAATTAAAAAATCACAAAGGGGGGGGGGTTGCTCCAAGATACACACATAAACAAAAAAACTGAAGGGGTTAACCCCCCCCCCCCCCCTGCGTACGCGCCTGCCCCCGTCTTTGAACTTAAAACAGATTACGGCAGGGGTTTTGGAATCGACTTCTGATTCTCACAGACATGGACATGTCGACAATCATCTTATAATGTGATTTAGAAATCGGGTAGCCTCATTTTCTTTATATAATGGATGATGCGTTTTCCCCTTCGAAGGAAACGATTCATCTGAACATAAACGTTTATGATCTGAAGAAGAAAACATGTGCAGATGTGGTCGCTCCTGATGTAAAGGGCAAATGTTACTGGCTTTAAATTCATAATTAAGTTTTATGACTACAGTAATTTGAACAAACATTAAATGAGGGGTAAATTACTGATAATTGTAACAACTGCAACATTGCCAATTGAGATGGATGCTTAATTGACACATGAAGATACATGGTTTTTCATGATAGAACTCAAGAAGTTCGTTGATGCGGTTTAAAGCGTCCTCTGAAGAGTCTTAAAGTAGTCACCCGAAGAATCAAATGTGTTTTGAATTAGTGCAGAATTCATATCATTGCGAAGAGGAAGCCTTACTGATCAAATATAACAACTTCCCTTTTCAAAGTATGTTTGGGGCCCGCAGTAATCATCTCTCAAAATCATTAAATTTGAGATCCAGATTTTCTGCCTCCAGCCGTCCTCCGTAGAGCGTCAAGATTCGTGACGTCACATGCGAGACACAGCTAGCCACAAAATTGCATTTTACGCCTTTCCGTGATATCTATATGATTTTTCAGCAAATTATTCGTGTTTGTCAAGAGAAAATCTTTCTATCCATATATAATTCGTCCATAATTATCAGTTGTCGTGATTTTTTTTTTCGGTCACTACTTTAATTGACACATGAAGGTAGGTGGGTTTTTCATGATAGAACTCAAGAAGTTCGCTGATGCGGTTTGAAGCGTCCTCTGAAGAGTCATAACTGCCAAAAGGAGTTCTGATGCTCATCGCTCATTCTCGTCACTTCATTGATAATAGCTCGGTCGAATGTCTATCATCAACTCAAAAGTGGGTTCTTATCCATGTCATGATCATCTAATCACACTTGCAGTACAGAAGACGAAAGATTTTTAGGGAGACAGTGCTGGATAAGTTGAAGCAGTGGTCAGGTGTCTAGTTGTGTGAGAGTGTGGCAGGGGATGCAATCATCTTCTCGCCACCTTGCCTTTAAATTCTCTCTCTCTCTCTATATATATATATATATATATATATATATATATATATATATATATATATATATATATATATTGGATAAGGCAGACCAATGGAGCATGGTTGCAACTCCGAGTTTCACGCCTTGCGAGCGATCATCAGGCAACTGGTAGCATGCCTTATCCAATATATATTTTGCTCTGCCCATAAGCATTGAGCACTGTATGGAGGAATAGACCAAATCTAAGTATATATATTTATATATATATATATATATATATATATATATATATATATATATCTTTATTTATTTATTTCTCTGTCTATCTTTCTGTCTCTCCCTCGTTCCCCTTTTTTTTTTATCTCTCTATCTGTCTTTTCTCTATCTCTCTCTCCCTCTCTTTCTCTCTCTCTCTCTCTCTCTTTGTCTCCCTCTCTCTCTCTCTCTCTCTCTCTCTATCTCTCTCCCTCTCTCTGTCTCTTTCTCTCTCTCTCTCTCTCTATCTCTCTCTCTCTCTCTATTTGAGTAGGGGCACGTACTCTCTGTCTATACGCCACTGAGCACGAAATTCAATAGACTGAGCGAGGAGTGGGGCATGGATGGGGGGAGGGGGCGTCATAAGTCGGACAGTGAAGATGATCCATACCCCGCATTCCTGAAGGTTCTCAGTGGGTGATAACCGTATCAATCAACCGTCACAGACCTGCAGTGGCGTAGCCCCAAGGAGGGGATATGAGGGGGCACAAGGGACAAAAAAGGAAGAAAATACGATAGATTGGGAGGAGGGAGCTATAGAAGATACTGAGTGTACTGTAAACATGCACATTTTGGTTTAGCTGCAAAATACCCTACCAAATCTTATTAGTTCGAGTTTGGATTGGTTTTGGGTTAGGATTAAACTTCGGGTGTAAGATTAGGCCCTGAGGTGTCTCAGCGTTTGGGGTACTTGTATAGTGGGTTATTGTCCGGTTGTTCCTCAATGTTCACACTTTCCCCTTCGCCGTCGATGCTTTGATCGTTCACCCTTGCACCAAGTAAAATCAGCCCGCCTCTCCCCCAGCCCCCCCCCCCCCCCACCAAAAAAAAAAGAAGATCCACGCTTCGCCTCTGCAGACCTGCAGAACATACCACGAATGATATGCGAGGAAGGTCATGTCGTATGTTATGAGCCGATAATTGGACTCAGACGATTTAATTACCCCCTCTCTCTTACAACTATGTCAATCGCGAGAGGGAGGTTTGCATACCCTGTTAAGGAACGGCTGGTTGAAGATCGCGAACAGAGGAGCTGAGATGGGTGGTGGACTAGTGGTTGATTTTAATGCCGTCCTCCCGAACCCCCCCCCCCCCCCCCCCCGCCCTCAAAAAAAAATAACACAAATTGAAAATAAACTTTGTTCTTCATTCACAGACTTGTCCTGATTTTCTCTAAATATATTTTTCAAATATATTTTTCTATATATATATTATATATAATTTTTTATCGGGGGAGGGGGGTATGTGTCTGTGTGTATGTGCATGTACAATAACTATCCTTGCTTATACAACGCCTAACACTTACTTTATCAGAAGTCTCTAAGCGCTCTACAATAATGTAATATATATATATTGCATTGGAGATGTTGCAAAGCTTTTACAAGATTCAAGCTCATAATCATGTTATTGCATGACTATGGTTTTATTTTGATTCACAATTTACTGACTTAAATTGTTTTTTAACTCTTCAGGTAAACACAGCGTACGATCACCCTTCATTGGAAGCTAACATCCAGTTTGTTGTAGTCCGAATCGTTCTCCTAAACAGACAACAGGTGAGATCACCCCCCCCCCTCTTAACTATTTGTCCCCCCTTTACCCCACTCCCCTTCGCTCCCCTTTACCCCCTCCCCTCCTTCCACTCCACTTTCTACCTCTTCCCTCTCCCTTCTCTCCCCTTTCCCTGCCCATTTACTCTCACCCCTTTTCCCCTTCTAATTTTCAGGCAGGAAGCCTTGTCCCAATCAAAGAATGTAGTATACATAATTATTGTATTTAGTCGATAGCCCTACCCCCTCACCCCACTCCCCCCCCCCCCCCCCCCCCCCCCCCCCACCTCAAAAAAAAGAAAAGAAAAAGGAGTAGGCATATATAGAGAAGAATGTTTCATTATCATTTTTGGTGTTGTTAGTATTTCCAATGTACTTATAGTTCTTAACGTTGCGAATATAATGACGATTCTTCTTGGACTTGCCCCATTCATGTACAATCATATAATTATCTCATATTTATTTTTTTCATTTTCACCAACCGTCATATATTAACCTATTCCCACTGAAACAAGTGTAATGACGTATTGTTGCTTTTAATGATTACTGCTGCTGCTGATGCTGCTGATGATAATGATGATTATGATGATTACGATGATGATGATGATGATGATGATGGTGATGATGATGATGATGATTATGATGATGATGGTGATGATGATGAAGATGATGATGATGATGACGTTCAAAATATGATTATCCTCTCTCATTCCTTCCTCAGTCCAAATACATGGTAGTAGAGAACAACGCTCCGGCCAGCTTGACCAACGTGTGTCGATGGGCCGCTACCCAGACCACGCGTGATGACTCGGCCCCAGAGCATCACGACCATGCCATCTTCATCACCAAAGAAAACTTCGGTCCAGCCGGTAAGTGTCCTCAGGTTAATATCGAGATAGATGCAGATACGTGCGATGCAGATAAGTGCGCAGAGAGATTTCAAACGAAAAAATATTAGAGGAGTGTGGCTGTTTGAAGTACTTTTTTTCTTTGAACTTTGAACTCTTCCAACGTCATGACAATGTCATCTCCATCACCAAAATAAAAACTTCGCCCGGCTGGTAGATTTCAGTTGCCATGGTGGTAGCTGAAATGATAGGTGCAAAGATGTTTCAAAACGAACTTAAAAGGTTACAAGGATCGAATCGATGTTGGTCGGGAGTTGGGGATATTATATATATTGCATGTGCTGCATTGCAATGCGAAAGGTACCGGTGTTTTACTTCCGGACACGCCCCCATTTGTTATTATGAGCACACTACACCAACACACATCCAGGATTGGTGGCAGCAGAGGGATATCGAGGAGAGTATAATTTTGATACTATAAATAGATAGATCAGTCTTCAGGCTATCTCAGCTTATTGATAGCTGATTTCTAACGGAAAAAATAGCTGTTTTAAATTGATAATTGCTCACAAGATTATTTTAATAAGTAAGGATATAGAGGAATATCAAAATATGATTAAAAGATTTATGAATTTCAAGTAGGGGCGTATTCTTCAGGAAGTCTAGACAGATTGCGCCATATTCCACTTTTCAGAATCTTATGCTTACTTGATATTTCTAAAGAAAATTTAAACCTGTAGGTGTTTTAAAAATTCAGTTTCCATGAAAGCAAGAACAGTTCGAGAACTTAATGATCAATCAATCAATCGATTTGTAAGAAGAGCTATATTATCACCGTGAAGAAGAGACAGCTGCAATGTATCAGCCAATGAAATATGGTAACATCAAATGGCCTTGTTTATTATTACTTTTACGGGTAGCCGCAGGAATGAAATAAATATTATCTTGTCGTCAATGCGTAACTATTTTAACGTCATGATAGATTGACCACCCCCTACCAGCCTCAGTTTCTTTAATGTCGATGTTTACTTTCACAGCACGTTGAATGTTTCCCCAGTAAACATGCTCGCAAGATGGATAGCGGCTGCTGCAAGAAATGCTTTCCTTGTTAGCATTGTACAATGGTTGTACAAGATGTGACAGCATGGATTTTAAGTAGTTATTGAAGACGATTTATGTAGTTGTTGGGAAGAAGATTCCACTTCCATATAAGTGATTTACATTTGAACGATTCAAGAGAACGATTAAAAGTCCGGACGTCGATAATCTCTACACTTTCCAAACTTACTGTACGCCTAGCTTATTCATTTTTCTGCCCATTCTTCAAACTGCTCTTCTCCATTCTAAATTTGTTCTCACCTCAGTCTTCCACTTTTCCATTTTTACTGCTTTCTCTTCTTTCTCCTCGTGTTTTATATCTTTTGTCTTATTCTTTGTCATCATCTCCTCTGTACGTATTTATTTTGTCTTACCGTTTTATAATGTTCTCCGTCTTCTCGTCTCGCCTCTCTCATTTTTCTTTTGCATAATTATCTCCACTTTATTATTATTTCCTGTCATTATCCTTTTTCAGTTAATTGATTGATTGAATGTTGAATTACAGTGAATCAACATCATGAAAAGTACAAAATATAATAAAATGTTACCTGAAAGATTATCATAACCAACAAAAATAAAGGCTTCGATTACTTCTTATTATATTTTAATCATCACTTTTTCTGTCAATCTCTTAAATCTCCCCAGGCTATGCCCCTGTGACTGGTATGTGCGCCATTACGAGGAGCTGTTCTCTCAATAAAGATGAGGGTCTTTTATCATCCTTTGTGATCGCTCACGAGTCTGGTCACGTGTAAGCTTTTATCCTATAGTATTCCATTTTTAAATCAATTTGTAATATTTGAGAATTGTTTTAATTGTAAAATTATATGATAGTTTATCGAGTATTGAATACTATAGAAACCAAGATATTAGTTAATTTGCCCCTAAAATGTATGTGCTTCTTTAGTATAAATCTATCTACCTAATCAAACGTGGGGCATATTTACAAAGCCATCAGAGGCTTCTTTTTGTTTAGTTTTCTTTTTTCATTTATATGTAAATTGTAAAGTGAAACATTTATTTTGTATACATTACCGATGATATTGATTCCTCTGTATTTTCATTGTTTTGTTGTACAGTATGAACACTTGCTGGATATTAACTTTGATTTAATTTTTATGAAAATGAAATAAATAAACGATTGCTTTATTTACCAAACGTTATACAACTTTCGAAACGTCAAGTCAGGATAAAAAATAATCCACTTGAGACTACTAGATAAGTATTTTATTATAGTATTCATGCATAATGTATGTAACATTTTATTTCACTCTAAGGTAAATCAAAAGCAGTCGTTCATTTTTGTTTGGTGTTAACGCGATGCATTTTGTCCACAGATCTAATGATTTACCTTTGAAAGTTGAATGAAGGGGGTATTTACATACTAACAATAGAGTTCCTTCATCGCAGTGTTCCAAAGACATTTGAATAATTCGAAACCAAAACTCCACGATAAGGAAACATTTCTATTAAAGTGCGATGAGCACCTTTTTTTTTGTTAAGAAAGAATTCTATGTGAAGGGACTCTAAACAAAAATATCACTGAGTTTCAGAAACTTTTTTTCTATAATCAGTGACATTTTTGTCAGTGTAAGCACCACTTTCGTCACTTTCCCGCCATTTTCTGCCCTCAAATCTTTACAAAAGTTTTGGCATGGAGCACGACGGTCAAGGAAATACGTGCGAAGACGACGCGACGCGAGGCTCTATCATGGCCCCCGTAGTCATATCGACCTACATTCACTACTTCTGGTCGAAGTGTAGTCGGGGCGAGCTACAGCGGTACCTGTCGTGAGTATCTTCCTCCTTTTTTACCCCCTCTCTCTTCTTCCCTCCACTCCTCCACGGTCCGTCTTCTTCTTCTTGTAATCCGTAGTTTCGGGATGGAACACGATGGCGTGGGCAACTCCTGTAAGCGCGACCAGTTACGCGGCTCAATCATGTCGCCGGTTGTCCGGGCCACATACACCCGATACTTCTGGTCGGTTTGCAGCCAGTACGAGCTTCACCGGTATCTCCAGTGAGTAGGTTCGGCTTTGTAGATCCGGTTTGCCATGTGGATCCGGTTTACGTTTCATTCGGGTTTCGTCTCATCCGACTCACCCTCGCATCCGACTTATTCGCCCATCTGATTTTGTTTTTCTTTCGATTTTCTTTTGCATCCTTTCTTGTTTCCTTCATTTTTTTTATTCATTATTAAACATTTCTTTTGAGCATGTTGACTGGTGCTGTTGATTTCTTTAATTGATTAATATCTAGTGATTCCTGATTTCTTTGTGTTGAATGAGTCTGTTTGTCCCTGTTTGTGGCTCCTTCTATCCGTCTCTCTGTCTCGTTTTGTTTTTTAAACCTTTTTATTATATTAGAATTTAGTTTTTTTTTTTTTTTTGGGGGGGGGCATTTTGTGAAAGTTATTTTCAGCACTTGTATTGTTCATTTTATTCTTTGTTGATCAGTTATCTTGTTCTTCGTGTCGTGTTCAATTGTGAAGTTCGATTGATTGACATTGTTGTCGTAGTTGTAAAAATTTTCACATTTCTTTCTGAAACCACTAATTTGTTTGTTGATCTGTTTCCATTCTCCATGGTCACTTCATGTTTATAAATGTGTAGTTTGATTAATACCTGGCATTCTTGTAAGTTGTCTTTTATAGTCATGATTTTTATACTTTTGATTTCGTTTGTGTGGGTCATATTAATTCGGTTTCTGTGACTCTTATTCCGTAATGATATTCGTCATCGTCGTCACTGTCATTCTCGTGCACCGTCATCATCTTTTCTGTTTCTGTCTTGTTCTCGTCTTATATTTTTGGGTGATTTGTTTTTCTTTCCTGTTCCATTTTCCCTTCTTAATCTAACATCTGTATGAGTATGCATGAATATGGATATATTTTTAACATTTAACAGGAGAACGTTATATAATAATAATAATTTTACATTAAAGGGATAACTCTTAAGTCTACTCATAATGAATAAACCACGACATGGTAACATTTTAAATCACATACTTCATTTCTCGAAAAATAATTTCACGGTAAAAGCATGAAAATATATTAAATAACCCAATGATTTATTTTACCGAATGTAAATCGTATCTTGTCATTGATTCTTTAAAAAACATATCATATAAACGTAATTTCTTGTAAAAATATGTAAACCACACACATTCTCTCATCATTAAGTAATCAAGCAAAGATATCTTTGTATTTCTTTCAGTTCAGCAACATGAATTACCCACCAATTTTAAGATGTTATGCTGAAAAGTAACACACATAGTAAAAGCATTGATACAACAAAGTTGAATGTTTTGTTATGTGGCTTAAACACTCATTTTGAACGCTCTCACTATCCACTATCTTTACATCGGATATCCATACTCGATTCCCTTTTCTAGTCGGTACTACTGCTTGTGGGATGATCCATTCGACGGTGGATATCCGGAGGTTCGGCAATATCCCGGTCAGCGTTATACAATGGACGAACAATGTCGGTTTGATTTCGGGTACGGTTACCGCACGTGTACCGCGGTAAGTGATAGTCCTTAGATGCAGTATTCATTTACCCTTTAACTTGGTGGGTTTGCTTTGTTATTGTATTTTATTGTGATTGGAAGTATAGAGGGTTCATTGATAGAGTTGAGACGTTCGTTACAGTTTTCTTCAAAAATTTAAGAATAGGTGTCGAAACGAAGATTCAGATTCAGATCATGAAATTGCATAATCAAGTGCACAAGAATTGTGCGTATATTTCTATGAATGCATCAAATCCGTGAGGAAAATTTTTGAAATAATGAAAAAGTCAAGTGCATGTCCTATGAAAGAAAAGTTAAAGAAGTATAATGGATGACTGTCAAAGAAATTGATATGTTTTGGTACAATATTTTGTTTTATTTTTCAAACTGCATGGATTTTTATGTTAATTGTTTTACCTTTTCTCCATTGTAATACAATTCGATGCAGTTTTATTACAATCCTTGTCAAGAGTTATGGTGCATGCATCCAACAAGTTACAACTGCCGTACTCGAAACGGTCCTCCGCTTGACGGGACCGCCTGTGGTCCGGGCATGGTAAGGAGTAGTGTACCGTCTAATAGGGGACATTTCCAAAAGGAGATAGGGTTTGTTTTTCTTTCCTTAAAAAAAAGCTTTGAAACTGAATGATAAGTGAAATTATTGATTTGGGAGTGGGGGGTTAACTTTCAATTGACTTTCCATCAGAATTGAAATAGTGAGCTACGTGGGCTCGCTAGGCATTGCCATGTCTGCGTTTATTCATTCACGAATTAAAGGAAAACATATCCTATCTCCATTAAGGGGTTCACTCTGTCAACTAACCCACTTTCCACTTTCCTCATCTTTCATTCCAGCTTTAACATTCTCTCTATCATTTCAAAACAGTTCGACGATTACGACAAATGCGATCAACTGTGGTGTATGCACTACCGCAAAAGATATGTATGTCGGACTAAGAAAGGTCCGCCGTTAGACGGCACAGAATGTGGGCCGGGGATGGTAAGAATAGAGCGGGGTTTCCCGACTAGCTCGAGGGGGCGCCCAATATCCGGTGACGATGTGGTTTTCAGAGAAGCTTTTAATATAATAACGCCTCGTGCGCTCTGCAATCCGATTACGAATTTAGCTGAAGCGAAATATATTTCAGGTACAGCTGATTGACAGCGTCAAATCTTTACGGACCTGTATGATGCCTTAAATCGGATCTTAAGTTGGGTATCAAGAAGTATGTCAGGGTTTCTTTCATGCATCCGATGAGCGTTAAGCACCGTTTCAAAACGCCAAGATAGTAAAGTTATTAGGTAGGCGTGTTATTGTTAGAACGTGGGTTGCTAGAACAGTTTAAAGAAGGATCTTCAACACCAACAGCAAATGATATATTCCGACAATCAAAAGGAACAGGGCCTATTTTTTCAAAATATTTGCCGATAAGGTTAAGATCGGGCCCATCGAAACTGTGGATAAAACCATAGAAACGAAATTGATAGTAAAAATTGTAGTCAAAGTCATTTTCAGACAAGAGATTGGACAATTTTGAGGTATAAATCTGAAAGTGGAGGCCACTAAAAGTAAAACTGCAAGGTCAATATCAGCACTGTCTTACAGTAAATCTCGTCACAAAACCGTTACAAAATTTGGTTTTTACATAATCTCTTTATTTGCCTTTTATCACGTTCTGTAAAATAATATTATCTTTCCAATAAATGCTAAGAGGGGCGATTACTTACCAGCGTAAGTAGATAAATCGGTGGAGCGAAATGAATAAATCGGATGCGTTCATAATGGCTTCTGAAGTCCACATTGTCTCCGAGTGGTCCGTTTCTTGCACGTGTGACTCTTGCACGTGTGGTTCTTGCACGCGTGGTTCTTGCACGTGTGGTCCTTGCACCTTGAAACCGCTTTACACGTGACTTATCATCTTGAGAACTCTCCTTAGAGGCACACAGGGTGAAGAATGCAAAATTCAATTGTCTCAAATTTGTTATCACTCACATCTATTTAAAGAGGATGTAGTTAAAAACAAATAGCATGGATATGATGACATTTTTAAAATGGTAAATGAATTCTTATAAATCACAGTAGATATTTGTTCGTGCATGTTGTACAAATCTTGCATTTTTGATGAATTATGCATGTTTCTGGAGACTTTTGTCTTCGTGAAGTTCTAAATGATATAATTTGCTCGTGGGGTAGGCTTTTTTATTTCAAATAAACAACTCTACATTTTGTTTTCTTTTTTGTTACCACCAAAAGAATGCAAATCAACATAAAAATAAATGAGTGATCTTACAAGTAGCCAAAATCAACTTTCTTATGGCGATGGTTTCTGTTGTGGCTTGATGAAACGCAGACTCTGATTGGCTAGTCAGTAGTATGATAGGAGACATGCGATTGGCTGTAACTTTCAACCAATCGCATCTATCACTCACCGGGGTCCGTGTGAATGGTTTTACGAATGCGCATCAGCGGTATTCTTGTTTTGTATTGTCTGTTTAAAGTTGCTGCTGCACTTTACAAGAATCTAAGCTTTGAACTGTGTCTTTCTTTTCTTCTTACTAACCCTGAAATGTAGCCGTTTTGTTTCATCCATTCCACTTTTGAATTACATTACCAATGCGGACAAGTTTTGTAGATCTATTTACGTAAGACTTTGAACGTGCCAATTGTATTACTCACTTTGTAGGTGTAATAGTTTTTATAGTTAGTATTGCACTTTGTATTCAATAAAGACTAAATATGTTTTTATAGTTTTTTGAGTGTTTTTGCATCGTTCTATTTCTTTTTTTCGCCGAGTTTAAGAAAAATTGTATCTTATTCTTTTGGGATGATAAAAGTCCAGTGCGGAATGTAACTTGCAAATGTAGGCCAATAACATATGATTAGTGTTTGTTTTAAAGATTTGTATATCAGTCCAATTCTAAGCGTTACGTGGGAGAACCGTGAAAACTGATAATCCCCAACGTCATATATGGGAATTGGGAAAGGAAGAAACAAAATCCTCTTGTTTGTCGAATGCCTTTGAAGCTTACATTCTTACGGCTTACAATCAGATGACGAAAATATAATTTTGGCTATTCAAATCTGGCTGGGACAACAGAATTCTAATAAAGGCGGATCCAGGCCTATCAGAAAAGGGGTACAACATTTTTATCAGGCTAATTTCACCTCTGAGATCTCTCTCGCTATCTCTCTCTCTCTCTTTCTCTCTCTCTCTCTCTCTCTCTCTCTTCCTCTCTCTCTCTCTCTCTTTCTCTTTCTCTCTCTTCTCAGCGATCCGAAAGGGGGGCGCCAGCCATACTTACCGTTAAAAAATGCTGGTTTTATTTTATTCTCTCTTTTTTGTTTCCTTTCCTCAAAGGAAGGGATGGCGATCCCCTCGTTCTAACTTCTTTGCCTTATTTCTAACTTTGTCTCTAGAATTTATAGTTAAAATCAAACGTTTGACACCTTCTGCATCTCAAATCTTTTCCTTTTACCTTCCTTTCCACTCCCTGTATAGTGGTGTGTGCAGGGTACATGTAGGTATTCGCAGAATCAAATAGACGGACATTGGAACGCCTGGAGCGGATGGTCAGAGTGCTCGTATAGCTGCGGTAGAGGCACCCAGTACAGGACTAGACAATGCGACAACCCAAGGTAAATTGATTTATTGATTGTTTAACTAAATTGAATATTGGATGTTTGATTGATTGATTGATTGATTGATTGCTAAAATTTGATTATAATTGAAGGGTGGATGATTGGTTCAGTGACTGATTTATTGATGATAATAATTTGCTTGCTTGATCGACTGATTGAGTGGTCGGTCGATCGAGTGATTCCTCAATTGATCAACGATTGGGTGGTCGATGATTGATTTATCGATTGTTTAGTTGAATGGTTGAATGATTGTTCATTTGATTGATTGATTGAATGATTGATTGATCGTAAGAATTAATGATTGAGTTATGATTTAGCTGTGATTTAGTAGTTTAATAATTGATAATTGATTATTACTGATGGATGGCTGATTGGTTCAGTGAATGATTGATGATGATGATTGATTGATTGCTTGCTTGAGTGATTGGTCGGTTGATTATCGATATTATTGGATCAATGATTGTATAAATTAATGATCGAGTGATGATTTAATAGTTTATTAATTGATAATTGAATATAATTGAAGGGTGGATGATTGGTTCAGTGACTGATTTATTTATTGATAATGATTGATTGCTTGATATGATTGATTGATTGGTTGGTTGATCGAGTGATTCTTCGGTTGATTAACGATAGGTTGGTTGATTATTGATTTATTTGAATGATTAATAATTGATTAATTGTTGGAATTAATAATTGAGTGATGATTTAGCAATTAATTAATTGATAATTGATTATTATTGATGGATGGCTGATTGATTTAGTGATTGATTGATTTATTGATGATGATTGATTGGGTTGATGATTGATTTATTTGACTGATTGATGATTGGTTGATTGATTGATGATTGATTGGTAGATTGATTAATTGGTTATTTGATTTATTGATGGGTCAGATGATTCATGATTTGTTAGTTGATTGATTGTTTGATTGATTGATTGGTCATTTGACTGACGATTGACTAGTTAATGATTGATTGATTGTTTGATTGGTCAGTTGACTCACGATTGTACATTTGCTGATTGATTGATTGATTGGTCGGCCCGACTAACGATTGTTTGATTGATTGATCGAATTCTTTGGTCGGTTGACTGACGATTGATCGGTTGATGATTGACTGATTGATAGAGTGAGTGATTGATGATTGATTAATTGATGATCGATGATCCAGCAATCGTAGATGACACCCTCCACCAACGGAATCATCCATTTTATTAGTCAATTATTTTACAGGAATAGCCGAAATGGACTTAATGACTATTTTATCTTTTTTTAAATTTCTTATTTAGACCGCAATATGGAGGACGAGACTGTTCGGGAAAAGGCGAAGGCGTTAGGCTATGCAACACACAGGTACTATAAAGCTACTTTTTTTTTCTTTCCGTGAAGTTTCTCAATGTATTATGAACAAAATATATAGTTTCACCCACTATATACTTACGTATCCATATTAAGGTAGATATTAATGGTAGATGTATGAAATTGCTATTTGTATGTCATCTTTATCATTCTCAGTTTAGAAAACGATCCTTCGTCTGAAGAAGAAGAAAAATCGCCTATCGTGCAGTCCCGTGCACAATTTTTTTTTTTTTTTTTTTTTTGGGGGGGGGTGGTTACGAAATTGCAATCCCGATGTATGAAATCTTTTGTGATCAAAATGGAAAAGCATTACATTGATGCCGAAAATGTGATCAATTATTTGTTCTGTTCATCTCTTTCTTACGTGATTCGCATCAGGAATGCTCCAATGGACCCTTCGACAAGCGAGCCGAGCAGTGTACAAACTTTTTCAGCAATTGGAACTTCATGAACCAGAGACACACTTGGTTACCTTACGAGAACAGAAACAGTGAGTGTTGTACCATTTACTGATATCACGTTCATTTTAATTTTTGATGAGTTTTTGACAGGAGTTAAACAAATAATGTCTTTCGGAAATGTTTTATAGTATTAACCACATTTCTCTGTTTTGTATGTTTTACAAAGTATTTTTAGTCTACATTAACATGTATGCCCATGTTATCTATCTAGACTAGAGGGTGACAATGTCCAAGAAAGAACAGTTATATTCTTTCTGTGGACTCTTCGACTTTATATCTCACTTCACGACTTTATATCTCACTTCACGACTTTATATCTCACTTCACGACTTTACATCTCACTTCACGACTTTACATCTCACTTCACGACTTTACATCTCACTTCACGACTTTATATCTCACTTCACGACTTTATATCTCACTTCACTTTACATCTCACTTCACGACTTTATATCTCACTTCACGACTTTATATCTCACTTCACGACTTTATATTTCGCTTCACGATTAAAAAGTCTGACTTTCTCCTCCCAACCTTTCAGGAACATTACGTTGCCGGTTAACCTGTGTATCAGAGGAAACCAATGAAGTAGCGATGTCCGACTATAACGTGACGGACGGGACACCAGCCTCTTACGATAACCCGGAAGAAATCTGTGTCAATGGAAAGAAAATTGTAAGTTGCAATTATAACAGAAACTATATAGAAAAATAGGGTGGCGAGAGGGGGTGACAGGAACAAAAAGAAGAGAGAAATTTGTTTTCCATACCTTATTCATTATTATAGTTAATAAGAAGTGGCAACCCTGAGGCCAAAAGGGAGCTCCACTTAAAGACATCATATGATTAAGGTGTAGGTATCCTACCAGAAAAGGGGTCACTGTGATTTAAGAGAAATAATCTCCTGCCTCGAGAAAGTCCCGGGAAAGGTTGTAAGCTTGCCTATATTAGCGGAGTCAGTAACTGACAATGGTGATGAAATTAATGATTCAAATGATTTTATTTCTCATGCAAAACATAATACAATGAATTAGTTTATATCAAAAAAAATACACTGAAGCAACAAATATAATGGTAATAGCACGAGAAAAGAGGAACTAACTAGGAGCAGAGCTTGTTGAAGTATTAGTTCCTCAGAGGCTGTTTTACAATATACTTAGAAAATCAATCAATTTAAAAAATATGTAGCAAAGAAATTATGATTTCTTTGGGGGAATGAAGGAAAATAGTAGAAGGCAAAAAAGAAAGAAAGGTAGAAGAGGAAAATTAATGATTGCAAAAGCTCTAGCAAAAGGAGGTTAGATCAAGTCATTTTTTCATACCAAAATGTATTTCACAAAATATGTGATATATCAAGCCTATTTGTTTTGATAAATATGAAGACTCCTCTTATTCGTATTTCTCCGTTTTGTCTTGAAGCCGATAGGTTGTAACGAGGTGATATCATCGAAGCTTCAATGGGATAGGTGCGGGGTGTGCGGCGGTGACGCGTCAACCTGCAAGCGAGTCACCTTCGATATCAACGATGACGCTTCCAGCAAGAAAAGTAAGTCGTCGTCGGCTTCGTGGCAAGTGTTCCCTTCCCCGAAAATTATGGGGCAACCATCAGCTCATAACCAGGCAACAAGCAATTATATTTATGATTTGTATATCTTATATGATATATTTTTGATGACGGGTAAAATTGTCCCAATTATGAATGTCTATATTTTCGCTCACTTGCAAAATTGAACAATTTGAAATAACAGGCAACAAATTGAGGCAACCGTCACATTGTATTCGAGTATAGCAACCTGTGTTTTTGTGTAATTTTTACATCTTATCTGATATTTTTTGAACAACGGAATTACAATACCACCATCATTAACTTTTGGGCGTCTCCTTCCCAAGCGAAATCATGCCCCTAAATTCAAGGAGAAACTGATAGATCCTCAATGTGCCTGAAGACTATCGGATTTATTAAGTTCCTCAAAATTATCCATACAAAGACGTTTTAACTTTTTATCTCTTTGTGCCCTCTCCTATTTTATCTCGTAACAGGATACAAAAAGGTTTTAACACTCTCCCCGGCTTTACGAAAATTGGATGTAAAGAAAACAGTGGCTTCTACCCATTTTCTAGGTAAGTAATGGTCTGAACTATAGTGTCATGAGAATGCGAACAAAATAATAACGCAACATGAAGCCATGATATTCATTTCCGTTTTTAATTTCCTACGGTATTAGTTGAACGTTTTTTTTATTGTTTTTTACTTCAAAATAGAAACCGAGTTGTTGATGTTGTTGTTGGTTTTAATGGCGTTTCCATCGTTGTTGTTGGATGATTTTCGCCATATTATTATATTGAGTTTTGTTTTGAATTGTTATGTTGAGTGTTCTTTGTGGATGTACCGGTGTATGAATTAGGAAGGGAGAGTCTGTGACGTTTTAATAACATGTCTGCTGTTAACAGTTACATTATACGAAGAGTAATTGTTCTATATTATTATTCTATTCCCCCCACAGCATTAAAAAGCGCGGAAACGGGAAAATATATATTGAACCCCGGGAGGCGGCGCTCTGAACCGCATGATTTTATCGTCGACGGTGCAAGGTTTACATATGATATCAGCGGTAGTCGTGAGAGGCTTGTTAGTAAAGGACCAATAGGAAAGGAGCTTCATTTGATGGTATGTAAATAATGTACTAAGCGTGTCACATAAGTTAATTTATCTCAGTGCTCATTGGCTAATCAGAAATGTGTGTACGATCTTATGCAACATTGCATCAACATGCTGAATAGTGATTGTGATTATGATGAAGGCGGTTCACATTATTATGCCAAAAACTGAAATGATTGGATTTATTCCCCGCCATGTGTCCTGTATGTTACGTCGTTTATCTGATTATTTAATTTTTTTTCAAGGTAACTTTTGATGTGACAATTTTTCAATGGTAGTGAATCAAGAAAGAATCATTTTGAATCAAATTTGAAAGGTTTCTTTTTATTTTGAATGTTCCTCTTTACATGCTTTCTTTTGTTATATTAGTATGTGACAATTTTTTTTAATAGTAAAAGACTTTTGTTACCGGACATTGTGCAGAATCGCCAAAATGATGATAATAATTATTTGAAAAGGTTTAAGAAGGAATAAAACATTTCTCGTTCGTTATAGGTTTACATCACGCGAGACGACAGTACATTAAACTACACGGCGTCTTATTACGAAACGATACCGTCAACGACCATGGCGCCGACCACAGCGATCACGACACGACCAGTGACGACCCCGCGGGAGAATAACCATATCGCTCAAGTGGTTACGGAGGCCGATCCCACCTATGAATGGAGAGAGATTGGATGGACCAAGTGCAACAGGAAGTGTGGAGGAGGTAAGGGATTGTGATGATGATGACGATGATGATGATAGTGGTGGTGATGATGAAAATGATAGTGGTTATAGTGGTGATGGTAATGGTGATGGTGATGATGATGATGGCGATAATAATATTGTTAATGGTAGTGGTAATGATGATAAGGCATAAAAAGAGGTTGTATTGCCCTTTGCGACCGACCCAAAAATTTTGAAATCTACGGTTGGCTTTAAAAAATAAAAACGAAATATTACCGATTTTAGAACAAAAATATTTAATGAATTAAAAAAAACGAGAAATATCAGTCCAAAGAGGGAGAACAAAAAATATTCCGACCGACCGACCCTTCTTTTGGCACCTAAAGGGCGATACAACATTTTTTTTGTTTTAGGCCTAATGATGATGGTGTTAGTGGTGGTAATGATGAGAATGATGATAATGATGGTGTTGGTGGTGGTGATAATAATTCTGGTGGTGATGGTGGTGATGATGATGGTGTGAATATGTTGATAATATCGAGCAAAGACGAGACCGAGGAGAAAAAGAATGCTGTGTTGATGGCAATGATGACAATAATTGAAATGATGATGCGCTTGATGATGACGATGATGAAAAATAAGTGAATTCCCTTTTCTTTTGTCGTCAGGTTACACCTTCTTCAGACATCAATGTTATGTTGGTGGCACCGAAGAAACAGTGAAGAAGGATAAATGTGGCAAGGAAAGCTATAATCCGAAAGGGAAACGCAAGCGATGTAATACCCATGAATGCGGGACGATCCCGGGTGCCGAGACGAACGTTGATATATCCACGGAAAGGGAGACAACTACACATAGAGAAACAACGACGGTCGTAGCCACAACACCACCTACCACTACCACACCGCCAACAACTACACCACCCACGACAACAGCACCTACCACAACAGCACCTACCACAACCCGTCCCACTACAACACAGCCCACTACCACTCAAGCAACAACCACGGAACCTACAACAACGCGCCCTACCACTACACTGCCTCCCACAACTACACCGCCTCCCACAACTACACCAGTACCAGCAAGGTATTGATATAGTTATATTTTGTTGTAATAATTGTTTGCCATCATTGTTGCTCTCGGGATGATAAGGGTTTTGTGGTATAAGTTTTGGTGTATGTTTTGTCTGACTATATTACGATCACACCGTTTTCCTACCAAGCCTAAGTGATACTTGATACTTGATGAGGTAATCCCTGCAGCAGCTTTTCTAAGCTATACTGGGATGGGATGTGTTGTGACAGCAGGTGAAGGTGCAGACAACAAAAAAGTGTACAATTTTTTTATACAGTAAAATAGTGACGTGCAAGTAAAAAAATCATGCTGCTATATGATGATGATGATGATGATGATGATGATGGTGATGATAGTGGTGATGCAGATGATATTAAAGAAGATGATGTTGATGACTATAATAGAGGATGATGACAGTAGTGGTGATGATGATGCTTATGATGGTGGTTATGATGACAAATTAACAGTACAGTTGATACGAACATGCAGTAAACACGTTTCACTCCGTCTCCGACCTAAAGACGACAAAATCAGTTTGAAATTAATGAAAGTATTATCATTTAATAATGCGATAGTATGTTTTTAATATTAATAATATTCAGCTTTTATATAGCGCTTAATACAATCATCTCGGACGTCTCTAAGCGCTTTTACAGAAATATTATATATCTAATGTCTCCTTCCGATGTTTCCTTCCCAGTTATGAATGGAAGATTCGAGAATGGGAAAACTGTTCCGAAGCTTGTGGCATCAACGGTTTCCGAAGACGAGACATCCACTGTATTCAGACATTAGCTGGCGCGAGGAGCAAAGTGGACCCCTCATTGTGCCCCTCCCCGCAACCAGTGGACCATGAGGAGTGCAATCGGGAGGCCTGCCCGGCTAGATGGATCACAGAGTCGTGGTCAGAGGTGAGTAGGGAGAAGATGGAATTAGAAAGTAATGCCTGTTTCGTACGCGGCGTGTTTTCAGTTGCGTTATTTCCTGTGCTAATCAAGCTTTTGAAGAAAAGGACCACAAACCCACATTTGCCTGTCATTTAAGGCAAGGCTTGCGTCTTTAATTTTGCCACTATTTTATGTATGTCACTCTTACATGGCAAGTCCAAAACAAAACCGCTCAAGTCACTGACGCAGTCCCAATGAAATGACGCCGCTTGTATGCAATGGGCCTTACTGATTGTTGCACACGAGGCGTTATTTGTTGACTAGGATTACGTCAGCGTCTAGCACCATCTTTGATGCGCCATGAATAAAGGTGACTTTGTACATGCTGATCGCTGCCATAGCTAGGCTTGATTATATAGCGCAGGTAATAATGCAATAAAAACGATAACCCACTATGCAAAGGACATTACTTTTTGTACAATTCGACCAGCGCCATTTCGCCAAGAAAAGGTTGAATAATTCATGAATAATATATGCAAAATCCTGAACTATATAATTAGCAGAATCTAAACACGTCATTGCGTATATATGAAACAAACTTTTGAATATTGAAATTTTATTTTTACCCATTTCCAGTGCTCGGCGAGCTGCGGTACCGGTACGAAGACACGCGCTGTGACCTGCGAGTCACTGGATGGTGAAGGGATGCCGGGAACGTTCCATTGCTTCGACGAAAGACCGCCCACATCAAAGTCATGCTCGATCCAAGATTGTGACCGTAAGTTGAAATTGGAAATGCATACTTGGAAAATGAAATTCTAAAGTTAGAATTTATATTCATAGGAAAATTGCATTGTGCAAATGAAAATGTGATATAAAAAGTTAAATTTAAAAATTGTAGTTGAAATTTGGAAATAGACAGTGATATATCAATGTCGATTTCCAATGAAACCGAAACTGAAATAGATAGTAGAAATGAAATTGGAATTAAACTGAAATAGTGAATTGGAAATTCAGTGAAACTGAATTTGAAAGTGTGAATTTGAAATGTATATATAAATTCAAAAGATGTATCTATTATCCATGTAGAAATTTGAAATGATGTACATAAAGACCACCCAAGGGGCAGAGAAAGCCGATATTTTTAAAGGTTGGTGACGTTTTCCAATAAGTGGGATCTCGATAATAGGAATATAGATAGTGGATTCTTGAGTTGTAGCGCTCATATCTGTCATATTTGACACTCGTGGCGCTCAAGCATTTCAAGGAACTAATTCCTACCGGGCAGTTGACAGTTGATCGTACAGGTGTTCACTAAAGTAGGTTTAACTGTATTTATATTATGTGCTTCATCTATTTTATTTGCTTCATATCTTATCCTCAGCTGGAAGCTGTGTTGCCATGGACTCGGTTATCTGCAAGCGTAAGAATTACCGTACCTACTGTAAGATGCCACGATACGAAGAACTTTGTTGTACCACGTGTGGCGAACAGAAGAAATTATTCCAACAGCAACGAGCACGTAACGCACGTCGACCACGGAACTAAACATCAATTGCCGGTTCAAACCAGGGGCACTTCACTTCACATGCGGGGGATCGTAGCGACTTAGCAGCGAAACGGCTGTGAGGAGTGGGGGTACACCCTACCCTAGTCCCGAAAAAAAAATGTTTTGTACCTTTGCAGTATTACCAAAAAAAGGCATTTTTATCAATATCTCTTGATTGGCAATTTCCTTAATTTGGGGAAAGAGAGGGGGAGAAACCATCCCTCATTGAACATTTCCTAATGAATGTGTCTCCCCCTCCCCTGTATCACCGCCCCTGGTTCGAACTCTGGCATAAACACTGGAAGATGTCATATTTTTTATGATACAGTGACTGGACGATATACTTGGATGTATTTATTGTACGAATCATTATGGGGAGTTCTCAAATTCCGGAATAGATGATTATAAGTATTATTAGATCATATGAGTACAATGAATTTTGATGGTACTTAAAGCTTGTTGATTTATGGCGATGACTGTGAATACATGTACTTACAGTAAAACAATGGTTATGTGTAGATAATAAAAATCAATTTTGCAAGAATGTAAAAACAGAGAGTGAGTAAGAGAGAGAGAGAGAGAGAGAGAGAGAGAGAGAGAGAGAGAGCAGGGAATGAAATGTGAGAGAAAAAGAGAGACATTGAGAAATTGCGAGGATTGCGAGGAAAACGTGATGAAGTGAAAGAGAAAGAGAGAGGGAGAGAGTGTGTGCTAGAGATAGGAAAAATGATACAAAATAAAAGACATATTAAAGTGTAAAATACTCGTTACCCTTATATCATTGGATCATAAAGTTAATACATTTAGAAATCTAACATAAAAAAAACGGGGAATATCGGAATATGTTTACATGGAGGAAAATGTGCACATCATCTATTTTGTTTATATGTCAAATCTTGTTCTTTTTATATCGTCGGGATGGAATTTGAATGCTGTAACATAGAACTCTCAAATTTGCTATGCCTTTTATGTCTGCATTTCAATCTTGTGTAGTCGGCCCACGTCTTACTTTTCCTTATTTTCAGGGAAATTGTTTGCTTCTTTCATTGAAATTCACTTCTAGTGTATATATGTACATACATGTATATAATTATTCTAAAGAAGCCTATCGGTTTTCATGTACTTAAAATATGAGACTCCTGTGGTGCTCTGTTTTTTATCATGGTCATGTGTGTGGTTTAGTATGTGTACCTTTAGTTGCCTCATTTAATATCACTCGGGTTTTTTAAATCAGGTCGATTTAAGGGTTTGCAACAGTAAAGCCTTTTCTTATCATCTGCCTATTTAAAAAAAGTAATGAGCCATTATTGTAATTTAACCAGATTTAAACTTAATAAAATGCCTTGATACAAAATTATTTCATTCACTCATGAGGAATAAATGTATGTCAATAGTCAGAATTCAAATTGCATATACATTTATCATGTGTTGCTAGGTAGGGCAAGCCTCAATTTTTTTCCTACCTAGCAACAACTTATTTGAGCAATTTGAATTCAGACTATTGAAATATATTTATTTGTAAAAGGCGAATGAAATAAGGCACTTTTCAAAAGCATATGCATTAAATTTGGTTACATTACAAAAATGGTCCATTACATGAGATTCAAGTAAACTATGTCAATTGACCTCTAAGCATGCTGAACAGTTGTAGTGCCTTTTCAAGGGATTTGAACCCGTACCTTATTATCAAGTCTGGTGACTAATACGCAAAAGACCACAAAACCTGTATGTGATCTTCAAAAATGATAAAGTCAAATTTCCAGATCGGATTCAGAAGAATTTGCGGGTAACCCTGCCAGCACGATTTACAGTTGAAGGTTCGTGGCTGGGATTTGAGCCCTGAATCCCATGATCCATAGTCAGATCAAAGTAATGACCAATTTTCTTAATTCTTTTTGTATGCATATCCGTGTAGTGTAAATTACAAACTTTTCTGGTGCTGGAATGGATGTTATATATTTATTATGAGATTACTGAATATTCTTCATATTACCAGAGAAATCTATTTTATAGCTCGTTCTAGAGCATGTATTTGTATCTCGTGCGTTAATTTTACTTCGCCTAAAACATCTTACTCTGCTATAGATAACAAAGCCAGGAAAAGTAAATGCTCCGGCAATAATAATACAAAAGTCCTGCCTTGTGATATGTGCTATGCCTTATATGCATGCAACCATCCTTTTGTACTAGAAAATGTAAATAAAGACAATGCTATTACATGTATATTTACGAGTCTCTGTAGCAATCTGTGATCTGGTTTCATTTTATCTCTACGTTATTTCCGGAATTACTTTACATTATATTGGGACAGTTATCTCCAGATTAAAGTTAAATTGCTTAATTATTTGCTTTTTATTCTTTTTTTTAAAAAGCATTAAGTAAAATCATCAGGTGAAAATGTAGACATACATGTAGTACAAAACCCATCCCCAATTCACATTGCATACAGCACAAACACCATCATCATTTCTGCTTGCAAACATAAATCTCAAACTCAACCAACAATCGTGTTCCTTTCACATGTTAGGGATGTATAGCTGAAGAATTTTTCCCTTACTTTGTGTTTGTTAACGTTTTCGGTTTGTTTAAGGTGTGGGGGGGGGAGTAGGGGGGTCGTCTAGTTTTTCCTCTCTTATCGATTCTCTACTCTGGCATTCTGTCTCGTTAAGACACAAGTATACTCATACTGTTGTCATGAAAACATTATTTTGAAATAATTAACCTCCGTTACTCCAGTGGTAAAAGAACTACAGTGGGTCCTCGAACTCTCATTTTAACACAAAATATTTTCTATGATTGAATATAAAGGCAACAGATTTTACTCCACATCCACGTTTAACAGCATTTACAAATTCATCTTCTCACTACACCCAGAACAAAACATACACATGACAACAACCAGCAATTATGAGCGTATGTTTTCAAGGAATCATTCCTCGTTTATTTCTCTGACGACTTTGACACAAGATTTTCGGAATTGTACAATGCACTATACATCATTTGCCTCAAAATAACATGTGTCGGTAAAAACAGCCAAGCAGGCATAGCCAACGTTCAGCTTCAAAATGTTATTTTAACGTTATTCTGCCCAACACAATGCACAAAAAATTAGGAAAGCTGGCCTTCGATGTGAACTTTATCATCGATATAGCATGATAAATTAATTCTCTATGTTGCGGATCGCTAAAATATTGGACATGATACGTTGCAAGGGCTTGTGAACTGGGAATATGCAAATTACGTGACCCCCCTCGTCCAGGGCATGGCTAAAAATCTTATATTTCACTGTGATGATTATAAGCAGTCTAGCTTCCTTAGGTTTGTGATGATGATAACATAATTTACTTGTGGAGATATGCTCTTGTAAAACTCCTGGACACATCGGGTAATTGTGCACCAATCCCTTTCAATTGATACAATCCAGTCCTTTAATCCTATGATTAATACTGCATGAAAGGGAATGATTCATATGTCAGCTGCCTGCAATAAGGCCATTCCTGCCACTGAAAACACGTAGCTCTCTCGGCCTTCTTGCAGGCAGCCAACGATGTACCCAATGTGCCCCAAGGGTCTTACAAGGGGGGAATCTTTAAAAAGTTTGTAACACTTTGTCTATGAGCTTGCAATGGAGACCTGCCAGACGCGGATCAGGTTGTCGGTGTATCCAGCGAAGAGTGTCTGACCGTCAGCTGACCAGGCCAAGCTTATGCATTCCGTCTTGCGGTTTGAGTTTCCAACGACCTCGGGACGTAGCTCGTCCACGGTGGACTTGGTCTCCAGATCCTGCATTGTGCACAGAAAAAAAAGAGTAAAATAAACATCCAAGTCGAGCGTTCAGTGACACAATGACGTAACTCTATGTTTTGACAAATTGAGTATTTGATATCAAAATGTTCAGAAAAATGTGGGCTTTCCAGGAAACACAAAGACTTAACTCCACCCAACACCCCATTGAGGTCAATGGCTGGTAAAACATACGTAACTCCTTAAGGCCTAAGTGCTCAGTGACACAACCAATTTTTCTCAAAATGGCCAAAATTGAGTTACGTCTTTGTGTCACTGACCCCTCGAAATATAACTAAATTTCATCCAAGACACTTAAGAAGCAGCAAATAAATGTACAAAGAATTTAATGCACGATAATGTTCTTGGTCATGCTACGATGTGTAATCAAGACATACTGTCTAATGTTATTACGTTTTTTAATACATCGTCAAACAGTGTTATTGCGAAAGATGATACAGTAACCAAAAAATATTTCACCTATTTTCTAAATTTGTAGTGTAAATGTGAGAAGTATGTAGGTGTACGTTTCACGCGCTACTACCACTTAACTCCTGGGGACCCCAGGAAACAATGTAGTAGCATGCAGACAGACACCAATCGTTCTATGCCCATTACAGCCCCAAGACTACACAGAAACAGTAGCTTTAGGAACGCCTCAATGAGCAATGACTTTCAGTTTTCTTTCCTTCTCTTATCATACACCTTTCTCTACTTCACGTCTTCATTAGGTTTATCTTTGTAAATCAACAAAACTTTGCTTTACTAATATTTGCTATGATGCATCAAGATACATAGAGGATTAGAGGTGCTGTGGTCCAATGAATAAGTCTCCGGACTGTGAACCACAAGGTACAGGATTCAGATCCCTGTTGCAGCACTAATGTCCTTTTGGAAGACATTAATCTACATGTGCCATACTCCACCCAGGTGAAGTAAATGGGTACCTGGCAAGAATTAATTCCTTATAAGGTTCAAGGGCTGCAAAAGCAGCGGTGCTGAAGCAGGGGGATAACAATGGAGTGGCAATGTGCCAGACACAAGCCCTACACAAGACTCCACGATCTTCATTTATCATTATCAAGAAGCCAGATGTTTGGAGGCCACTTTTGGGCATCCAAACCAGTGTAAGTTACTGGTTCCACATTTCCCAGTTCAGACCATTCTCCTTCATCAGAGACACGTACCCTGAGACAACACACAGGGGTGTACAACAGTGAAAAAATAAACAGGGGCTCAGGGCGAAATAGCCCCCGAAATGCCTAAAAGTGCCCCCGAAAATCAGAAAAAAGCCCCCTTGAATTTGCATAAAATTTCAATGCAAAACAAATTTTAGAATGATATTTTCATGCAGGCAAGGTTGAAAAGTAGCCCCCCAAAAATAAATATTAATTTTTTCCTCTGGTGTACAACTGCCCCCTCTCAAGGATCACTACTAGCACACACACACACACACACGCACATACTTACCCAGATCTTGATGGTGGGTCCAGCAGCGGCACAGAGCCAGTACCTGTTGGGGCTGAAGCAGAGGGCATTGATACCTTCTTGGCTGTCCAGGGTGTATAGATGCTTGCCCTCGTTCAAATCCCACAGCATGGACAGACCGTCCTGTAGAGAAAACCGCAAAGGAAAAATGGTTATTCATTTGTACAGCAGTGGAAATAAACCAATGAAAACAAAAACAAAAAGATGAGGGGTTGAGCTATTAACATCCTCCCCCCCCCCCCCCCTCCATATTTTAAAACTGTCACCCAGCAATCAGAAAAGTGAAGTATTCTATCAAAGGGCAATCCAACCCCTAAAAATGAGTAATTTTTATTCAAGCAGAAAAATTTTATATTCAGAATGGCAAAAGATTGAATTAAATCAGGCCGATAAGAAGGTAGTGAATGTTTGAATTATATAAGATCACTAAGTCTAAACGAATCTCAAATTGGCAATTTTGGTAGGTGGATGTGCCTTAGTTGCATATAATTCTCTTTTTATTTAATAATATCATTCTCTTGTTTGTCGCCTACAAGTGTGTCATTAATTTCTGTGTTTCTCTCAAGTGCCTTCTCCCCTGGGGCACTACTATCTTATTGGCAGCATATCATTATAGGTTCTCTAAAGAGTAGAAACTCTCCAGAGTCATACATGTTTGAAAATTGTTAGTATTAGTCATTTTGTGTGTTGGAACAAATGGGAAAGTTGTCCACCACTACATAACAGAGACATCACTGATTCCACCGATGTAAAGAGCCTATATCTGCAGTAAGTACATGTAGGTGTGCGTTTCACGCGCCACTACCACGTAACTCCTGGGGACCCCAGGAAACAATGTAGTAGCATGCAGACAGACACCAATCTTTCTATGCCCATTACAGCCCCAAGACTACACAGAAACAGTAGCTTTAGGAACGCCTCAATGAGCAATAACTTCAATCTTCTTTCCTTCACTCTATGCTTAAAAGTTTTCCTCTCTGACAGTTCTTCCAAACACAATACATTAAAATCCATCTCATTTGCTGATAGCAACTGTTACGAGGATATGATTTAATGCCATTGGAACACTTCTTAAAAAATGTTAAGGATCGCATATTGTCATAGGTCCTCAAAAAGAGTATAATTGATATGAATCATTCTGCTAATAGCAAATTCCAGGGCCCAGTTTCTCAAAACTCTCCGAAGTCTAACTCTCAAACATCCCATTGCATCATGCGTTATATCATTGTAACACGTTTCTATGGGATGTCCACGAAAATAGACTTCTGATGGTTTCAAAACAGTGGCCCCAGGGCTCCCCAAATTCTTACCTTGCCACCTGATGCACAGAGGGAACCATCTGGTGATACAGTCACGCAGTTCAGGAAGCAATGATGTCCGAAATGGTTGGTCTTCAGACGGCAGTTGGTAAGGTTCCATACCTACAGGAAAAAATCAAGGATGATAGAGGATTAGATAGAGAGAGAGAGGTGTTCTGGTCTAGAGGATAAGCCACCAGACTACAAATCACAAGGTATAGGGATCAAGTCCCTACCCCCATGAGATGAATGAGTTTGCATAAATTCTTGCATTGAGAATTATGTAGGTGTGCGTTTCACGCGCTACTACCACTTAACTCCTGGGGACCCCAGGAAACAATGTAGTAGCATGCAGACAGACACCAATTTTTCTATGCCCATTACAGCCCCAAGACTACACAGAAACAGTAGCTTTAGGAACGCCTCAATGAGCAATGACTTTCAATTTTTCCCTCTTCCCTCTATGCATTAAACTTTGAACTTTCCTTCTCTGCCTATTCATATTAAATACCATATCATATGCTGCTAGCCAGAAGGGCAATAACTGTAAAAAAAGATATGATTTCATGCCACTCTTGGCTCTCGGCAGAACATACATATTTTCCACTTCTGTTCTAGGGGTAAAATCTTTAAGGGTACCAACCACAAACAAAATATTTTGCTCTGTATGATACAGATTCCACAATGCTATACCATACTTAAAATATGAGCATCAAACAATACTATACAAGAAATATTAGATGTTTAAATAAACTCTGATTTAACTTTAACACAACTTGAGACTATGACTAAATTACTCTAAGCACCCATATAGACGAGGGTCCGCACACAACAAAAGTCCGATTTTGGTTCTTTAGTCAGGGTTTTAGTTTATCCTTTATTTTCTGGATAATCCTTACCTGTTAACCCATAGAATACCTGGTATATTTTTCAGGTTGATTTCAGGCCGATTTTAACATTCTAAATTTACACAAATTATTTGTTGTTTGATAAGTATACTTAACATTATGCCTTTTGAGAACCAACCAGGCAGTATTATTCTTTCTCCACTCAAAATGTATGAACTGTATTGATTTCACAACAATGAAATAAAAATGTGTCAGTAACCCAATGACTACTGAAATCTCTCGTTTCTGTAGGCTTAACACATGGACCAATTGGTTCCGGTAGGCAATGAGTTAAAACGAGTGTCATACCTTGACGACCTTGTCCCATCCGCCGGAGACGATGATAGGGTTCTGTGCGTTAGGTGAGAACCTCACACAGGAAACCCATTCAGAGTGGCAGTCGTCCTGTCAAAACAAAAACAAAACATAAACAAAATAATGAACGGTCTCTATGAGCTGGACTTTAAAACTGACCAGATATTTTCTCCAACTTCATTGTGGGTATGTTAAAATATTTTGAAGTCAACAAAAGCTGTGATAAAAACTGCCGATCAGTATTAAAGATTAATAAATCATTTATTGCACACAGTTTGCATTAATTTACGGACTGAGGTTGGTTGATAGTGAAAATTATGTAGGTGTACGTTTCACGCGCTACTACCACTAAACTCCTGGGGACCCCAGGCAACGAAAAAAATACACGGTGGCGACGGGCGATTCGCCCTCTAAACCTCTGAAATCGCCACGGTAAAAATCAAGACGAGGGCGAAAAAAAATCAATATATCTTGAAAAATCGCCCCCGCCATAAATTGATATTCCCTATGAATTAATAAACCAATTTATTGATGTGTCTGAGTGAAATCTCCGTTCCAACTACCAACTCCAAAACTAGAAACTTCCATCAACATTTTAAAAGTTTTGTGAGTTGCAGCGGATCGGCGGTCGTACCTACTGTAGCTAGATCTACAGCGGTATCCGCCTGCCTGCGCCTAATATAAGCTCCCGGCGGCCGGACAGGCCACCGGCCCCGATGTAGTTTCGTGCACAGCATGAATGCATACGCAGTTCGCACACGTTCACAATACACAGAAACGTACTAACTCAGCTCCAGCGCGCGCCCGCACGCTCCTTGTATGAAGCAAATAAGTATTTGCGAGTGACGAGAGCTCAACTGCTAGCGACCAAATTGGTACGTAATATGTTTATTTAGTCTTTTTTCTGGCCCTAATTTTTATCATGGACAATGCAATCCCATTAAAAAAAATGTTATTCCGTCTAAAATTGTGTTATTTATAAGTTAAAACCATTAAATGCGAGTATATTTTTACTGTTGTCCCACATACCAGGGCTTGTCTCACCTCCCTGCACATACTGATATATTTGTAATAACGAAACGTGCAAAATCAATGCCGGATTTTTTCCTGTAAAATCGGTATAAAGCAAGTTTCGTTCACAGAAATTGAATTTTGTTATAAAAAACCCCGTAAATAAATATATAAAGGATGTTCCTACTCCTCAGAATCTTTCTTACAACTGTTTAATTAAATTAAATTATTTATATACGATCGATGCCAGGCCAATTGTCATGAGTGATGATGACATCAGTTTCTGTCTACGAAATGAAACTAGCTTTGGCTTGGCCTTAAGAATTAGAGTCTATAAAAAAAAATAATAAGGCATTGATTTTGCATGTTTCGGCATAACAAATAGACCCTACATCGGTATGTGGGACAACAGTAAAAATATTTACTCACATTTAATGGTTATAAATGGTCTAAATAACACAATTTTAAAGGGAGTTGGTCTACATTTTTTTTTTAATGGGATTGCATTGTCCATGATAACAATTAAATTTGGGACAGAAAAAAAGACTAAATAACATATTACCTACCAATTTGGTTGCTAGTAGTATGATGGCTAAGGAAAAACACAACTTATTGTTACAGCTTACAATATGGCTTTAAGGAAGTAGCCCCTTGGTTTTTTTTTAGGCAATGGGGAAAAGTAGCCCCCATAAAAAAATTAATTCCTAGCCCGCGTGTCAGTGATATTTTCTTAGGATATGAAAAACGAACAGTTAAACAAAACACTCCTTTTGACAAGTTTTAGTTACATGTATGTAAATCATAAAGCCACACGTTTAACACAAAGTGAATAAATCATGGGTATCTGAATGTCTGCAATACTCTACATGACATATGTACGCTACAATTGTATCTATATTTGCCTTTGCTTGGAATTTAATTATGTAAACCGCGTTTTAAAAAAATACAACCTTTAAAAAAAAAGCCCCCCTGAGCTCCAAAATAGCCACCGCAAAATAATTAAGGGGGGCTATTTTTTAAGGGAAAATCTGAAAAGAGCCCTCGTAAAAAAAAAAGTAATTTTTTGGTTGACCCCAGGAAACAATGTAGTAGCATGCAGACAGACACCAATCTCTCTATGCCCATTACAGCCCCACGACTACACAGAAACAGTAGCTTTGGGAACGCCTCAATGAGCGATGACTTCTCTACACAATAATCTTGAACTTTTCATACTTTGCCTGTTCTTCCACACACATGCATTAAATACAATATCATTTGCTGATAGCCACAAGGGCAATGAGGGTATGATTTAATGCCCCCTCTGGCTCTCTGCAGAACACACATATTTCCCATTTTCTACTTCTGTCCGAGGGATCTTTAAGGGTACCAATCACACAAAAAATTGCTCTGTTGAACACAATTTTTTTTTGTATAAGATTAGGGTATAAGAATAGGGTTCAGGGAAAAATTAATATTTATTTTTCGGGGGATACTTTTCAAGCTTGCCTGCATGAATATAAAATTCTAAAATTTGTTTTGCTTTGAACTCTATGCAAATTTACAGGGCTCTTTTCTGATTTTCGGGGCTCTTTTGGGTATTTTGGGGCTGCTTCGCCCCGAGCCCCGTGTAATTTTTTCAATGTAAGGGTTAGGGATGGGGTTGCAATAGGGTTTTAGGTTAGGTTTAGGGTTAGGGTTAGATATAGTTAGGGGTCTAGGGTTGAAGTTAAGAAGTCAGTCGGTGTATGAAATTGACACAGAGCAATTGTTGCAGGAGCAAGTGTCCTAAACCCTGATAAATAGTTACCTGGATGGTGTACTTGCACACTCCAAGGGTGTTCCAGAGCTTGATGGTGCGGTCCCTTGAGCCAGATACGATCTGACGGTTGTCAGCAGAGAAGGCAACACTGAGGACATCCTTCTTGTGACCGACAAACGTACGTGTAGTCTTGCCGCTGTAGGGGAATTCAAAGGTAGGAAGATGTTTTTAGTGCATCTCTAAGGAAAAGCTCGTCTGGAAATGACTTTCAAGCTGTGGATTGTTGTTAAGGATTAGGCAAGAATCTCTTTGCCAATGATGGTTTCTTTGTAATAAATCTGTGCTATCTAGTCATACATTCTAATATACACGGGGTTAGTTGATGGCGAGAATTAAATGTAGGTGTTCGTTTCACGCGCTACTACCACTAAACTCCAGGGGACCCCAGGAAACAATGTAGTAGCATGCAGACAGACACCAATCTCTCTATGCCCATTACAGCCCCAAGACTACACAGAAGCAGTAGCTTTAGGAACGCCTCAATGAGCAATGATTACTCTACATATTAAATTTTGAACTTTCCTTCTCTGCCTGTTCTTCCACACACATACATTAAATACCATATTATTTGCTGATAGCCACAAGGGCAATGAGGGTATGATTTAATGCCCCTTTTGCTCTCTACAGAATATATATATTTCCTGTTTACCATTTCTGTTCTAGGAGTCAAGTCATGAAGGGTACCAATCACCAAAATTAAAAAATTCTCTATATGTTTTATGCTTTTTGCATTCCTTGTTTTTGATAACTTGTTTCATGAAACGGGTTCCTGCTCAGAATAAAAGATGGGATGTGAACTTACGTATTGATATCCCACAATCGCAGGGTCTTGTCCCAGGAACCGGTCAGGGCAAACTGACCATCGGATGACATGACAACATCAGACACGAAGTGGATGTGTCCAGTCAAACTTTTCCTGGGTGTTCCATAGCTGGTCTCGTTACGTGGCAAGTCCCAGACGATCACAGTCTTGTCTGCCAAAGAAAAACAGACGAAAAATAATGTATATTGAAGTTGAACTATTCACTTAAAAAGTTCTTGTCACAATGGTACAATAATCATAATTTCTTTACCCAAGGAAGACTCGTCACCACTCACCATCAATGCTATTTTTCCTGGATGCACTGCAATCATTATTACACAAGCAATGGTACCCTTTAGGACTAGGTGTAGAGTGGAAAATATGGATAAAGACTTGCCAAAGGATTGCCCCCCCCCCCCCTCCCCACCCCGATATTCTATCCCTCAACCCTTGGATTGTTTGATGAGAATTATGTAGGTGTGCGTTTCACGCGCTACTACCACTAAACTCCTGGGGACCCCAGGAAACAGTGTAGTAGCATGCAGACAGACACCAATTTTTCTATGCCCATTACAGCCCCAAGACTACACAGAAACAGTAGCTTTAGGAACGCCTCAATGAGCAATGAATTTTCTACGCATTAAACTTTGAACTTTCCTTCTCTGCCTAAGTTCTTCCAAGTTCCAAAACATATTGAATACCATATTTACTGCTGAAAGCCAGAAGGTCAATAACTGTATTTATCATTAGTAATTTAACAGCAATACATTAGATACAATCAAATTGGGTGATTAATTTACATGAAAAAATATGACTTCTTACGAGAGTTTGATGCAAATTCATGGGGTAGACACAAGAAAAATATTTTCGGAATTGCCAATTTGATACTTACTTTGCAATAACGATTGATTAGTTGAGTATACTAAGGCGCAAGCACTGAGTTAGCAAAATTTAGCAAACTTCCTGCACATGCGCCTTTTCACACTTTTATCGCTATTAGTATTAGCATTAAATGGGAAGTCCACTCTGATATTAAATTGGTTTTAATAGAAGCAGACAAATTAGAGAAACAATTCAGGGAAAGTATGACTTTGAGGAAAATCGGACAACCAATAATATAGTTATGAATCATTCAAAATCATAAAAACTATGGAATCACAAATTGGCAATGCGGTCAGAAATTGTAATGTCATTCCCTCACAATTCACCACTGAATAACAGAATGACCCAAAATCTCCATTTGTCCGAATTTTAATGGAAGAAGTAGACCCATATTATAAGGGGGTGCATAAAAGTATGTTATATCCATGATATATGATGGAGATAGGCAATGGCATGAAGAAAATATATCTTTTGATCAAAATGGAATTAAATGACGTTTCTTGCATTCAACAGAAGATAAAATCTGAGGGTGTCAAGTTTGGACATTGGAGACCACATTGCCAATTTGACTCACAGATTTGAAGTATTGTCATGAAAAGTTATGGTTTTTAAAATCCATATTAACTTTCTTATTCATTGTCAGAATTGTTTCTATCCTTCACTGATCCGTTCTTCTCACTTGTTTCTCCTTGTACACAGTGAGAGGTCGCTTTGTATTCTTCATGTGCATTTGTTGGTTGCCACACGCATGACCACGTGCTAAATTTCGTTGTAAACTGGCTTTACACAAATTCGGTCTTAAAAAATTGATCCATACCTTAATAGTCAATACCAGTAGGGGCGCTGGTCCAAGAATAAGGATCATCCGAGGATCGTCTTCATCATCACGTCCTCAAAAAAATAAGGATCATCTGCATTTTCGCAGACGATTCTTATTTCCGATTTTCGTGTTGCGAGATGCGATAAACGGATTCCGCGATGATTTTCTTGATGCATTTCACATAGATTTTGTACAGAAACTTTCACATTACGAATGTGAGCGATAAATCCTTGGGAAGACAGACAACCCATACAAAAGAAGACAGTGAACTGGGGTATTTTATTATACGGAAACCGTTTTTTTCGCATTGCCAATGCCAGCACGCGGATCAGGAACCCTACACGGTACACCCACAGATCACCAAAGAAAAAAAAGTCTGCAAAAATGCAGAAAATCCTTATTTTTTAGGACGCGATTTCTCCGCATTTCCTAGGGCTAGGATATCCTCATTTATTAGGGTGTCTGAACGATTTTTCAATTTTCAATTTGGGATCGTTTTTCACCATTTTTGTTTGATATTTGAATAAAAAATGTTATCAGAATAATACATTTCAAATTTCAAGTCTCACCGATGTTTCTATCAAAAGTTACAGCCCCTCCAACACGCTGGTATATTCATATCATTTTAGTCAAAATCGACGAAAAAGACGTCCACGCAGAGTGATGTTGTTTTGCTAAATTTAGCCAAACAGCTGTATCGCGCGATATGCAAGCGTATGCATATCGTACGCATGCTGCTAAGCCAATCCGCGACTTGCAGCTTGAGCTACGCTGTCTCCGCGACATGTGCGATTGACTAGTATGGTTGGCGTTCGTCGCACAATAAACCCGGAAGTGAATGCACGTTATAGTCAATGGCAATATCGCGGAGACAACGCACGTTGTCTCCGCGATATTGCCATTGACTATAACGTGTATTCACTTCCGGGTTTATCGAGGGAATTGCCAACCATAATTTCAGTCACTATAATGTGTAATTGAATTTGGGGTTTCGTTCGTGCGCGGAGATGTTACGCGATGTAACCATGGTTTGGACTGAGCGGAGCGCACGCCTCCTAATTAGCTGATCCACCAAATAGCGAGAAGGGTATTTTTAAACTGTTATCAGTTGTGATCCCTGGGGGCTAGCGAAAATATAATCACATAGAATTGTTCCTTAGGACTGGGACTACTTATCGATCGGGGCGTCATATCTCAAAAGTGACAAACCTCAGAGTTAGCCAGGACACAATGTTTAAATTGCTGTTTTGACCAAGATATTTTTAGAATTTCGGGGGCTACGCCCCTTTGGAAATATTGGAATTCACCTGCTCTTTCATATGACACCTCATTCATTGATTATCACCTTCAGGATCACAACTGATAAAGGTTTGAATCTCGATTTGAAAAAAAAAAATTGACTTTTTTTGCATGGTCGCGCAATGCACGTAGGCTGCATAGGGATGCGTGTAATCTCTATGGGAAGAATTTTAGCACACAACATCGGGTGCGCGATCAGACACCCTACATTTATTCTCGGACCATCACCCCTACTGGTAACAGTTTGATTTTGGAGCATCATATTCAAAAGTAAGCATTCAACATTAATCTTTATTTTCTTCCATTTGTTTTCTACATGTGTGCGAAAAGTCTGTGCTATTTTTAGCACTGCACGTATTGACGTAATGTGGGTAGGACTCGGAGGTCCATCCCGTTTACCGTCACTTTGGAATGGGCAGTACGGAAGTGGGAGAATCAGAATAGAGAGCGATGACAATAGAATGTACATGTGATAGATAGAGTACATTGTTGACTTTGATAAATCTGACCTGGACTACGAATCAGTAACAGTAGTGGATTTAGAATATTTCAATATGGCATCGCATTCTTTCATTCATTCTCACACACAGTTTACACGTAGACTGGCAATCGGCCATTTAGTTTACGTGTGTTACAGAGGGTCTCACCTCGGGACGATGACAAAATCATGTCAGGAACCATCGGAGTTGTAGCAATCTGGGTAACCCAGTCGCTGTGCCCTTTAAGGGTACCTTGAAGACGCAGTTGTTCAGTACCTCCCGACATTTTGGCTGTTTTACTAACAGATGAGGATGGATTTAAGGAAGGGCCCGTTTGGCCTTTCGTATTGCCAGTGCAGGCTTAGGAAAAAAAGACCGAGCCAGGTTGACTGTTTGTTAGCGTAAAATAATTCCTCCACTGATTGGCTATGGTACCTTTAATGTGAAAATCGAAAAAAAACGAATCACTCGAAGTTGAAGACAAGTTTACAATTACGATATAATATAATTATAATATATTTTAAACATACTGGCTTCAAATCAAATGTTTGCCGTAAAAAGCTGTAAATGGCAGTTTTTATGTTTTTTTTATCATTTTATCGATAAAAGACTTATTCTTAATTGTTTTTAATTCGTTTCTCAGAAGCAGGCAGAAAAGTCCGATGGGAATATATCAAGCTAGATTAGACTTTCAACTTCAGTAACAAAGACACAATGTGCCTCTTAACGACAAGGGAGCGAGGAACAGCCTTGCCCCCCCCCCCCCCCCCCTCATCAGAAAGTAAGCTTTTTGTTAGTTTTGTGGTGGGAGTTATGGAAAAAATTCCTTTCACCTCTTTATGCATTTTCATACTGTCTTGGTAAAGACTGCGGATATCGATAAAAGTGTTCATAGGATGACAAGAATTTAACTTCACCAACGAGATGTTTCCTAGTATCGAGTCTTTAACAGTAATTTGTCTGTATTCCTTTTTATTAGGTATTCAGCCGCGCAGTTTGGGATTGGGAGGCAAATATTCTAGGGGGCTCACCTTTCAGGGGCAGTGGCGTAATGAGCAAAAACGTTTGGGGCAGAAGAAAATCTTTATGACCACCACTCTTACATGTTACAACTTACATGCAGGCCCCGCGGACCGTTTTCAAAGTGGAGTATTAGGGACTTTTAGATTTGCACAACGACAACGTGGATTGCTACGATCGACGCCCTTTTAATACACTGCCTTGAATGGACGTCACACGTATCAGTCCACGCAAATCTAAAAGTCCCTAACGATCAGGTATAGAGCGTAGCGAGCGAAGCAAGTGGAGCATAAATTGGCGTGGGGTCCACGGGCTTTAGCAACGGCGGGCAGGGGGTCAAGTTGCGGAGCCCCCCCCCCCCCCCCCAAAGCTCAAGGGTTTTAGGCATTATGGTCAGATAGCCACATTATATATCTTGTTTGTGACACTGGTAGGTTACTAATTGGCGTGGGGTCCAGGGGACTGAGCCCCATGAAGCTCAGGGGTTTTAGGTATTTAATTAAGGTCAGACGAGCACCCGGAGGCCCTCCTTAGGACCCTTGGTTTGGTCCAAGGGACAGAACCCCAGGAAGCTCAGGGTTTTAGGCATTTAATTACGGTCATAATATTATGAGCATATTTTTAAACCTCATTTGTGACACTAGCTGACAGGTCACTAATTCTTTCCTTCTCTCTTTCTTTCCTTTTCTCTTCAACATACTTTTTCAAAAAGTGAGGTGGGGCTCGAGTCCCCGGCCCCGCCATTCTACAGGCGCTGACATGAATGCTTCTAAATAAGCATATTTTTTGCCAGACTGTAGATTCGGGAATTTGTAATTTTCCAACAATCGCATACAAAAGTATAAATTCCCCAACATGAGAAAAAAATCCAGGAAAATCATGTTATTTCAGCAACAATTGTAAATCACCGGTATCGAATTAGAAATAAACCACGTTTGAATTTTTTTGGGGGATCACCCCCCCCCCCCCCCCCCCCCCATCAGTACGCCAGTGTTCAGGGACTCATGTCTTCTCGCCCGTATAATCAAAAAAAAAACACGCTTTCCCATCCTCTCACAATATTTCCGCGATATGCGCGTATATTATAAAATCCTCCATTGATAAAAAAAAAAAAAAAAAAAAAAAAAAAAAAAATACAGGGACATTAAAATGTGTAGGTAATTTTAAATCCTGCACTCTCCTTTCCTTTGAATAGAATATATTTGTATGTGATTCAATTCTTTTGTATATAACAGTGAGGATGATGATAATTATTGTAAGAGTAATAATTTCTTGTATCTAGGAATTGGAGACACATCTACAAGTTCCAATACAAACTTGCACCACTTCCCAGAAAAGAAAAGAAACCGAAGTTCATTAGTTGAGTGAACTGCAGTTGAATAGCTCCATCTACGACAGGAAACAATGAAAATAGAGATCGAGGCACAATCTTCACAGTCACGTAGGCCTATCCGGAGGCCTATGCCTCTTTTCTTTCTTTATTTGTTAACTCTCCTCCTTCATTCCTCTATTTTCACTGATTTCTTCTTTACTTTACTATGTCATGTACTTCATCGTCTTCTCATGTCCCTCGTATTGTTCATCTTTCTTTTTCTTTGAGTTCTTCTGTTTTTATTTATTTTTTACCTCTTCATACCAGTCTTCATCTTCTTCCTCTTTTTCTTCCACTTCTTTGTCCTTTTCTACTCCATCTTGCCCTTCTTTTGTTCTTTTCCTTATTGTTTGTCTTCGTCTGTTGGCTTCTCTTTTTTTTTCTTATTTGCGGTCTTCTTTGTAAATGTCCTTCTTCTTTCACTTCTCATCTCATTCATCTCTTTCTTCCTTGTCTTTATTATCTATTCTTTCATCCGTTGTTCTTCTTCTCGAGTCCTTCTCTTTCTTCGTCTTCTTCTTCTCCTTCTTGTTGTTCTTCTTATTTTTTTTTCTCCTACCTCTCCATATTCCTTCAAGTCCTTTTTCTTTTTCTTCGTCTTGTACTTTAAAAAAAATTCATGTCTTCTTAATTATTTTGGTCAGTCTTCCTCTTTGAATCTTTTCCTATTCCTTTCTTTTTCTTCCTTTCTTTTTTTCTTCTTCTTCTTCTTCTTTTTTTTCTTCTTCTTCTTCTTCTTCTTCTTCTTCTTTTTCTTCTTCTTCTTCTTCTTCTTTTTCTTTTTCTTCTACTTCTTCTACTTCTTCTCTTCCTCTTCATAGCTTTCCTCCTCCTTTTTCTTAATTTCTTCTTCTTCGTCTTCTTCCTCTTCCTCATCTTCCATTCTGTCATACACGATTTTTCATTTCTGCTAATCAGAATCCCGCATTGTGCTTGACCTCTAAAAGAGAGGGAGAATTTGACCGTCATGTCCATTTCCCCGTTCCGAACCCTGGACGAGTGCCCTACATTATCGAATAGTCTCCGTTGCAGCCACATACTGGAGCATTTGAGGTACATTATCATTAAAGATAAACTTTAGTACTGGTAATGCAATTGTATTGTGAAAGAAAAGGTGTGGAAAGGATCAGAAACAGTTGATCAAGTAGCATGTAAGTATTGGTATGCACTGCAAGGTTCTGGAGTCATCAAAATCATAATAAATTTGACCGAGTCTTGGTAAAGTAACAAGCATTGTACACAGAAAGCTATATATGGGACAACACACATGGTGTCGGGGCTAGTACTACCTTGATTTCCTTGTCTTTCTATGCTCATTACTCAGCCAGTATACAATTTCTTCAAAAATTGTTTGGCACATGTCATTTATTTGTAATCTTTAACATTCAGTGTAAGTTTCGTTTGATTCTGTGAGAATTAATTTTCTTTTTTTTACCAGAACTGGAGTTTATCTTTAACTCGGTTTATTGCCGTTGGTCTACAACTAGTTCGTCTACAACCCGTTTGGTCTATCGCTTATCTGGTCTAATTGCTAGACGGTCTAATTTCCAATTTATCTAATGCCTATTTCGCCTATCATCCACAAGCTCTAACAATCTGATTTGATGATTATTATTTGTGATTGAATGATTATTAGACCATTATGGCTACTATACGAAATGATAAAAGCCAAATTTAGATGATCCCGACAGCTCGACCCTATTCCTATTCCAAACTCGTGGGAGACGGTGAGCATGGGAATAAACAATGCCTTTTACAATACTTAATTACATCGAGATTAAAGGTATTACAAAGTTTTGGGAAATTTTGAAATATGGGTGGATAGTGATTCTTTACAATTCTAATATATTTGGATGCCCCTGTGGATGTATTAAAAACACCAGTAATTTTAGCCCCTAAAACACTTTCGCTTTCGAGAAAAATTGAATATAAAGATTTACCGGTGCTCCCGGTAAATTTTGATAAATTTCAAACAGCTCCTACGGCCGTACAATGGTAGCTGCGACCATGAAAATCTCAGAGTATGTAGTTGTGGTATATACTTTCCGAACGAGAATAGCTAATCGGTCGATTTTAGTCAAAAAACATTGTTTTATATATTAATTAAAATCTTGACCTTGAGAGGGAGCTATTCATCATAAAGTGTTTATTATTTAGAATTTCATAACTTTAGAGTCGATTTCGACCGCGACACTGATCACTGAATATTTTAGGATATTCCAATATGTTCATTTGAACCAAATTCATGACCGCATACCAAAACTTTGTATTACCTTTATATAATGGTAAAAAAACAATCAACGATCTACTAAATTCGTATATGGTCGTATTTCTATCACATAATAGACAATCAAAATATACTAATGGTACATGTATAAAGATAAACAGGAATGTAAATAACAGGACAATTATCCCCTGGGCAATCATCCCCGGAAAGTAACCTTTGAAAAAATAATGTCAGTATGGCACCGAGTTTTGTTGTACTAGCATTGAGTCTTAAATTAACTTGAAGAGCTATAAATTCTTATACTGATGTATTATCGGTCGCCTTCAAAAACTGTAAAATTGGAAAGTTAACACTCGGCCAAGAGATAACAGTGCCCTGTGCCCCCCCCCCCCCCCCCCCCCCCCCCGCCGGTGGAAAATGCCCATAAGCAAATGGCTTCATCAAGCATAAAATGGTCTGAAATCTTAGACTAAACAAAGAGGCTTGGCGGAGGCTCGGTCGATACACAATACACGTACACGATGTACACACGTAGACACGTGTAACGCGCGCGTTAAAGCTCGCCTGTATATCGTGTTTATTTACGTTTTCAGATTTGTGGTCGAGGTCACACATGTTTATAAATGGCCATCAGTTCTCAACATTATAGTTGCTCTTGAATTTTTCAAGTTTACGACACTCGATTAACAGTGCAGTCTACGTCACCCATACCTCAAGCAAGGCACGTCTTAGTGATTAAGGCTTCCATCCAAACAGAAACAAGGTGAGTGTATCAATTCAGTTTGTGCGAGAGTGAAATTTGTAGTTTTAATTTTAAGAACAAATACCAGTCCACCACCAGATTCCTCTAGAGTATTAGAGGCCGGTATGTCTTAAAATCCTGCTGTTGATTTCTTTTTAATGTCGTATGGAATCTCACAAAGAAAATTTTACCCGTAATCCGACGTATAACTACAAGATTTTAGGCTTATGGGTCTACCGTCTAGTCGAAAATGCAATTGTGAATTAATGTTACTAGAGAGAGAGTCTAGTAGAGACGAACGAGTCCAGAGTAGACTTCGCTGTTTTACTTTTACTTTGAGATTTTAGTGTAGTGTAAGAAGAGACAGAGTGAAAAATAGTGTGCTTGTGTAACTGAGAGAGATTATCAACTAGAGTCTGATTTACAACGTTGAGTATAGTATATTAATGTTGCTGTTTTCATATACGCCATAATGTATGCATTGCAATTTGCATCGATATTGATTCTCATCTCGAACATAAAAACGATGCATTCAAATCGGCTTCACGTACGTACGTCCGCCGACTGAACTTGAAGGTGATCTTCAGGACGCTTTTTGTGTACAGCTAGCTCGTGCAGTGCAGATAGCTAGAGGTCGACTGCCTGTGAAGCCAAGTTGTCTGTTTTCGTTGTGTGTCCTTCATTTCAAATGACCGTGGCATAGTTTATAGAGGGTATTTTGCTTGATGATGTGTATCCACTGGTCAATTAAACATGTTGAATGGTCTATTTGATGACCATCACGAGCAATTTAAAGCCATTCCTGATACAATCAGAATGATTTGAATACAGGCTTTTAAAAAAAGGATGTCACGCGTGTAGAGCTATACGAAATCCATGAGCCCCCCCCCCCCCCTTCTCTCCACATGCAATCTCTCTTTACTTTACTTGTACACAATACGTAACATCAGAGGTCCTGTAATAGTTTGAGATTCTGTGCAATGTGTCCTGAAAGACATATGACTTTCAGTTTCATCCCTAAAATATCTCTTGATCGACACGACCATTGACCATAAATATAATCTCTATTTCTGGTACCACTACCGGTGACCACTGTCGTTATTATATGGTCCGATTACGTTATTTTAACGTTAAGGAAGAAATAAATGTAAAAGAGGCATAATGCATTGTCGTATGGGACACATTGCAAGTGATCTCCCTAATGATGAGTTTATAGCTTGTACATAAGCATGATTTTTCTGGTTGCGACAGTGCACACAATTATGATTGAGAAACAAAATATTCAAGAAAATATTGTTGATGTTGTTTATTGATGATAAACTGATGAATTCATCGTATCAGTTCCATCATTTGGATTGGAGGAAAGGAGCCTCTTGTCATTTAATTGTATCTCTGGAATTCAAAACAGCTTGACTTAGCATATACTACCGAAACATCATCTACTGAAACATAAACATTTTCTAAGACTTGCAATATCTTATTTAATAATCATCCTTTTTTTTTCTGGAGGGGGGGGGGTTATATCGACCCTATTTTTGTTTCCTCACACTCCCGTCTATCTCTCCCACCTTCTCTGCCCATCTCAGCTGGCCCTCTCTATCTTCCTTTCACCCCCCCCCCCACCTCCTTCATCTCCCTTTCCCTTTCCCGCTTCCTCTCACTATCACTCTTACCCCCCCCCCCCCCTCTCTCTCTCTCTCTCCCTCTTTTTCTCCCTCTCCCTGTCCCTCTTCCTGTCCCTCTTCCTCTCACCTTTCATATTATACACCGTTTTCCTTTCTCTGTTTTTTTCTGTCTTTTCCTCCCTTTACGCCCCGGATCTGCAGTCCGGATTCTAATCTACAGAGTCATTAGAAAGTTATATAAACCTTACAAAAAGCTGACCTCCTCTTATAAGGTATAAGGAACGAAAGCACGCAAATTCGTAATCACGTGAAAGGTAAACACTCTCATTTTCAACAAGGCAAACAACAAAGAAAAAGTGAGTCGGAAAATATTCTACAAAGGACAGGGGTGCATGCATAAAAGTGTAATATCTTTATAATTTTAGTGTGGAATAAAATGAAAAACAACATACTAAGGGCGGATAGGATGAGCAAAATGTATGCGCAGTAGGTAGCATGGAAGGGCGGCGATTGGAAGGGGGGCATGTATATATCCACACAAAAAATCAAAGGGGATCGTCCCCTACAAATTATCTTGTTAATTACAGAGAAGCACTTTAAAGCGTATATTCTTTAGTACTCCAAAGCCAAACGTCTTCTCTGTCAGTCGCTGCACTCTCTCGCAAAATGAACCCGCCATTTACGCTAATATAATAAATAAGTCCAGGTTTTATGCTGTAAGCACATCGTGCTGTTCAATGTCACTTTCATAAAAGCTCAGATAACAATAACATGAGGAGACGAACCAAAAATAAAAACAGTGGACGGAGCACTTCGCAGTTATTACCACTCGTCATTTGCTCGTCGATTAGGGGGGAATGGATGCTGAAGGGCACTTTGAAGAACGATATGAAGTAAAGGAAAACAAGATCATCTATCATTAAGATTTTACATATTTGAATGTTCATATAAAATGCTGGTGTCATTCTTCCGAAATCGGATCGCAGTTGGATCGTGTAGTGCCCTGGGCCTTTAGTCTCTAATTCAATAACATTTTTGATGATGAACCCTTCCATGAACTTTACGCAATATTTATTTGTAATAATGTGCATTATCTTCACACAATGGAACCCTTGACATTGTATGTCCTTCTAACCATGTTCTAACTCAAAGTAGACGCAAAAGTTTGTTCTCAAGACATGTAGAGGTGTTAAGTGTGGTCTAGTGGAAAAGTGTGCGGGGTTCAAATCCTTGCCGCATCAGTAACCACCTTTGACATTAAGATGCATTTGCCACACACGACCTAGTCCCCCTTGGGGGTGTTCCACAAAGATTATAAGTCGAACTTAACTCTAAGTTGGACTTTATGGAGAGCCATTTGTAGCCTTATAAGGAAATATATTCAAAAGCCAAAATTCGATCGTATCAGATTTTTCATAAATTCCACATCAAGAATATGAAATCACCCATGATAATAGAAAATATGAATGATTTGAATTAACATTTTATGCCTTTAAAATAACTTTTATAAAAAAATTTCAGGGATGCTAATGGCTTTCCATAATTGTTAGGTCCAACTTAGAGATAAGTTCAACTCAGGATCTTTGTGAAACACCCCCCAGATGCAGTAAGTTGATAACTGTTAAAAAATTAATTCCTTGAAGGCACTTGGCTACTAATATTCAAATTTCTTTGGAAGAGATGATATAATCTTCGTGATAATATGCGCTACAGAATAACATATCAATATCATCTGTTATCTCAGTTTGTAGAAGGAAATCAATATGTGAAACAGAAAACATGATAAATGTATATTTTTAACACGAGTGTGACCTAATTTTTTTATTGGATGGAAAGACAAATATGTATTTTAGATAAGTAGATGGATAGAATTAGAAAGATAGATACTGATAGGAAGATTAAAAAAAATAGAGTGATAGAGAGAGAGAGAGATATGGGGGGGGGGCAAGGAGGTATGTAAAGAGGGAGATATTAAATGTCAAATAGGTAGACAGCTTCTTTCGCAAATGTAGGTCGAATGATAATCAATGTGGTGATCGAGTGATGACATTCATTGATTCTTTTCTTCGTTTACGCCTACAGTGTATACGTATTCAACGTTGACCTCAGCGGCGTCGCTAGAACATAGGGGTTGTGGGGATGTGTGACCCCCCCCCCCCCCTTCTGAAAGTTTGCTGTCGGCGAACTTGTGTTTTGCATAACCTGTCTGCAAATCCCCAAATTGAATTGATGACCCTTTTCATTCCTACATTTAGTTAACCCCACCCCTCCCCCCCCCCCAACAAAAAAACGTCCTAGCTTGTTTTTTTTTTTTAATTGATAAAACCTAAAGTAGAATGTCAAAAACAAAATTTGAGAACTCACGAATTCACGTCAAAACAACTGAGCTCGCACCGTAAAGTGCATTCTTTTCCCCTTTTACTTCTACTATACAATGTTAATTCAGTTCAAGCTGTTCATGTTTTATTGACCATTCCAGAGATCAAACATTTTTTTAATGTGTTTGTAAACTCTTTGACCGACTTGTGAACTGCAAATTCTGCCAATAAACCGACGTCCAATATTTTTAGATCGAGGAGAAGATAAGGAAATTCAATTTACGCTCCAGAACGCTATCGTTATGTCTTCCGCTCATCTAAATTAACCTTGAAATGACTTTCAGGCAAAAGTTTAGGCTTCTTTGCGGGGTTATTGTGCATATTTTAAACCATAATCTGCGACGATGCTTTAATCTGTCAAGTATAGGAATGTATGGTTAATATCTTCTTTGAGTAAATATAAGGCCAGACTACGCGTATTGATTACCGAGTGTAAGGCGTTTATTACTAGTAACTCTCAACAAACCTTTCGGTATTTCGAAAATCATAATTTATTTCTAATTCCACGTTCTTCCATCAATTTAAATAGCGAACATTGAGCATCGATGTACTAAGGAATGTTAGAGAAGTCGCCACGACCCCCCCCCCCCCCAATAAAGAGGAAACATTGAGGGTAAGGGGTTACGAAAAGAGGGAATGGAAAATATTCGATGAGCATTATTATGATGATTCGAAGACGTGTAGTTAGTGACAGAGCAAAGAGTGTTGTGAGGGCTTTTCGATGGGAATGGCAAACGGACAAAATGGCGATAACAAAAAATACAAAGCGAATGAGAGGGGGTGGGTGGAGAGAGAGGGGGAAGAAAGAGGGGGAGAGTAGAGCTCTAGAGAGGGAGGGTAGAACTTGAGAGGATGTGCTTGTTGGGATACAGACATCTTAAGACATTCTCGGAGTATGCCTCAAGCCAGGGCACAACTAAATCATTATGACACATTTCCTCCTTTTGTGAAATTAAAGAGACACTTTCATTATTTCAAATTTTCGATCACTTCTTTTTTATTTTCCTCTTTTCTCGATAATGTCTTCTGCCTTTTTTTAAAACCAAAGAGGAACCCGATGAGACTGAATAATTTCACTTGATGCGCCTGTAATATTATTACCGTGTCTTTCTTTTCTATTTCTTTTATTTATTCATCGGGCTTACAATTGATGAATGGTTGCTTGTCTCAATTTTTAGAATTTTCTGAAAGTTTGTGCATTAAAACAAGCAAAAGAATTAAAATAAATGAATTAAAATAATTATTAAAATATCGTATAAACGTGATAAACACAGATATCATCTTTTATTCATTGTTTGCACACAGGACTTTTAACCAACTTTACCATCCGAGGTATTGAAGCTGGGGAGCTTTTCGACGTCATGTCTCGATCTCCTATCCTTCTGTATGCCCTACGCCACAGCGGTAAGCATGCCGCGGTTCCAACCGCCTTGAAACACTTACCGCGTCGGGCTGCTTCTAGCGGCGTAACCGCGTTCAAGACCAGACCGGAAGGAAATACCGTGGATCTCACGCAGCAGTCTATTGTGTTGCCGGTAAGTTACAAATTTCCCGCAATGATGACGATATCTTTAACAGTGCTTTGATGGTTTGTTTTTACCTGACTGCTAAGAAACCATGTGTATGCTAATAAGTAAGCAACTATTGGACCAATAGCTTTAAGTCCTCTCCGAGGGACTTTGTAATGAGGATTAATGCCGACTTGGTTAGTAGTCTGTCAGTCACCTTGACAGTAGGCCTGTCTATCATTACTTGTGTCCACTTGATTTTGTTATCTCGTTGTGTGCACAATGTAATTTGAAGAAGATTAAAAATTAGGTTAATCGAAGCGCCCTGTTTTTAAAAATCTTTCTCTCACTCTCTCTATCTCTCTCTCTCTTTTTCTCTCTCCCTCTCTCTCTCTCTCTCTTCCTCTCCCTCTCCCTCTTTTCCCGATGTGGTCTCCCCTCATTCCAAGCCCCGTTATAATACACTATAATTATTTCATCTTTCATCTTTTTCTTTTTTTTAACAGGGACCTGAGAAAATTCGTGTAGCTTCTTACATGAACGAGGCATGCTACAAACCAAGCCAGTTCTTCAGTGAGGTCTCCACAGTGTATGAGGCGTTCAAGAGAGGACAGAAAGTATCAAGTAAGTCAACATAAGAGTGCAAATGGTATACAGCCTAGCAGGCAGTGGCGTAGCCAAGAGGGGGTACAAGGGAGGCACCCGCCCCGATCGAATGGCAAAAAAGGGGAGAAACGAACATCAATGGAGAAAAGGGAAGAAAAGGAAAGGGATGGGGAAGAAAAGACACATACACTCCTCCCAATCGATAAGTCACATTTCCATCAACTTCATGAGACCTGCCCCCCCCTCCCATGTTTGGACCCATGCAATGCCACTGATATTTTCCAAGAAGCCAACAAAATCATTGCAAATGTACAGTATGTGAAATATGAAATAATAAGCTGAAACTGAAACTGACACTTTTCACTTCATGTGCGGTCAGATAAATAAAAAATATTTGTCAGCAGCACCATCAACATCATAATCATCACCATGCGACTATCATCGGCATTTTGTTTTAATAATTATAGTAAGGCTAAACTTCATACATTGGTCAGATATACTATAATCTTAGATGTGGTCTGTGACTTATGCGACAAAATAGCTCTAACTTGCCCTACTTTTTGCTAATCTACAGATATTCCTCTTTTCTTTTCTGTTTGCGCTGTTGCTCTTAATTTCTATTTGACTAGTATTATCTCTCCTCTTTTCTTGTCAAGTTCCTGATAGGAAAAATGTGATCAATCAGAGTATATCTGTACTAAAGGGATAAAACCTCGTCAGTTATCTGAATTATCTTCTGGTTTGTTTGAAATTCTGCAGACGTGTATGCAGCGCAAACAATCCAAGTGTCGTAAACCTGCAGTGCCAGTTGTGAACTTTCCAAATTCATTTCTATGTACCTGGTATAACCGGGTGCGTATATGAATGGCGGTCAGATCCGAAAAAAAAGTTCGCCGTTTGTTTGCATGTGTACTACGCTCTGCTCTAAATATAAATATGAAATTCAATAGTTTGCAAACATTTGACGTCATCATCTTTTCATCATTCACCCGGTCTAGACACAAAGAAGAAGCGAATACATTTACATGGTTGTGTTTGGTATTGCATGCTATGTGGATTTTCCGTGTGTTTAAAAATGCTTTTTACAGCTGTATAATATTATTTCGGCAATTAAAGGACCAGTATTTTCCATAGTAATAGAACAAAATAATAAATTGTTAATCGATGCCTGATGTCATTTTGAGAGAGATTGCTGTGTCTACTTATATTCATGAACGATTTCTCGATATATTTTATACTCGTCATAATTTTCGTCCCATGTTAAAAGTTTGTCCATGAAATCTATCTATCTATCTATCTATCAGGCTATAGTTCATCCAGACGTTGGACAAAGCCCTCCTCATGAAATTTCCATTCTCTTCTGTCTCTAGCTGTCCTAGTCCAAGCGGCCGTTCCCATGTATGATGTTAGGTCATCTCTCCATCTTCTCTTCTGCCTTCCTCTTCTTCTCTTTCCCACCCTTGGTTGCCATTGTGTTAAACGATTTGTCCATCTATTGTCCTGAAGTCTTGCTACATGCCCAGCCCATCTCCACTTTGATTCTCTGACTTTCTCCATGATGTCTTTAACCTTTGTTTTCTGGCGTACGACTTTGTCCATGATATAATATCTATGAAATAGGTATTTTTTGTCTCATAATATGGAAAGATGACCCATCTGTATGATCTTAATAATCGAATCGCCCCCCCCCCCCCCCCAATCCAAGAAAGCTCAGACGGTAAAAGAAGATACTGTCTCAACACTTTCGTCTACACTGTCTCAAAACGTGTTTCTACTGTCTAAAAACTTTTTTTGGGGTCTAGTTTGGGAAGTCCTCATATACCTTTACCCATAACGGTAAGTGATATACATGTTAAGGAATTTATCATGACCACTACTCCCAGACTATCAAATCCAATCCGGACAACTGCTAACTTCTCATTAACACTTGGTGTTATTTTACAAGGGTGGGGCAAATATTTGCCCAAAATATCTAGTAAAGCACCCCTCAACCGGGGTTACTTGCCCCCTGTGGGACCTCTTACTTCCCCCGCATCCGCCAATAATTCATTTATTATGCAATGATGGTATCAATTGTTCTCATTTATAAATGTTTTAGATGATGGCAACTTTCTGGGAGCTCGCACCGGTCCCAATAGATCCTACGAATGGATGTCGTATTCACAGGTACAAGTATTGAAGTGTCTTGTCAAATGAATCAACATATTATCTCTATAACCCCGTCGGAAATGAATAAATGGAATGAATAAAAAAGAAAAATCAGTAAGTCATTTTACGTCGGGATATGTGAATTGCTTAACACGGTTCGTGTAAACGACCCCTCGAACACCGCTATTAAAACAATTATAGTAATACAAACAATTAATTTTTTTAAGAGAAAGAGAAAGAGATTGGGGCAAAACAGAAAGAGAGAAGAAGAAATAAGATCGTTCATAAATGTGAACTCTCGTCTAATGAAGGTTTTTGGTGGTTATTAAAGTGTATTTGAATTTACTCAACGGCAACAGTTTATTCCCTTTCACTTTCCTTTATCAAGCACATGATGTAATATGTTTGAAAGAATATTACTTTTGATCTAGTCCAAAATTACTGTTACTTACTTACTTCGTCGTTACTTGTAGGCGGAAGAGAAAGCTCGACTGCTGGGATCGGGACTGATGGCCCACGGGAACCAACCAGGATCGTGCGTTGGTATCTTCTCTCAAAATAGACCAGAGGTAAGGAATTATCATTGGTAGTGGTAGTAGTGGTGGTGGTGGTGGTGGTGGTGGTGGTGGTAGGTGTGGTGGTGGAGAAGACGATAATGCTGATTATGATGAGGATGATAATGATGATGGTGAATGCTAGCTTTGACAATGATAAAAGGAGGATGATGGCGATGGCGATACTTGTAATGATGGTGGTGATAATGCCGGTGATTGTGATGATGATAATGGTAACAATACTGGTGATGGTTATGACAATGGTGGTGATGATGGTTACGATCACGTTTGTAATGACGGAGGCGACGATGATAATGAAGTTGCTGATTATATATCAATCGCCCATAGCCCTTGATTTTGAAGAAAAATTAACAATCTCATTAAAAACAACGAGAGTTGAGGGTCCTTAATCTTTGCAGTACATGTGTATCTTAAACGCTTGCACGGGTTTCTTTTATTGATGAAAAGTTTTGGACTACGCGGTCTTTCATATAACATACATGTATTTGTTAATGTCGAAGGACTTTGCAAAAGTCATCGGCAGAATAAGAATTTTTTTAATGAAGTACATTTACAATATCAATATTTCCAAGCATCACGAGAGAAAAGTAGGCTGCCGGTTTCCCAAGACGACTGGGAAAGCAATTAGATCCGAGCAGGGGCGTACGCAGGATTTTTTCAAGGGGGGGGTTTTAAAATATTTGCTCCCGAAAATTTGAAAATCGCGCCGGCCGAAAAGTCGCTCAGTGGGGGGGGGGGGGGGGGGGGGGGGGGGGGGGGGGGGGGGGGGGGGGGGGGGGGGGGGGGGGGGGGGGGGGGGGGGGGTAAGCGGACACTTTTTTTTTTTTTTGGTCTCAAAATTTCAAAATTTGACATTTTTTACGTATGGGGGGGGGGTAAGGTCACCTTATTTAAAGCCAAAGGGGGGGGGGGGGGGTTTTAGGTTTTTTTAGGGGGGTTTACATACATTAAAATACCAAAGGGGGGGGGGGGGTTTGAACCCCCAAAACACCCCCCCTGCGTACGCCCCTGGATCCGAGAACCAAAAGTAAATCCCAATACCTGTATGGTTTTCGATGATGATTGAAATTTTGAAGTGAACGGAGAAGATATGAAACTGCCTCAATTATCATAATTATGGCGAACCCATCGCGAACTGTGTATGATCGAATCTCTTCGATCGCGAAGAGAAACTACCCCATCTACGACAAGTACATGTGCATTGTATGAATGGTTTGCATCACCAATGAAGCCTGTTTCAAATCGGGCAGATTAAACTTTAAAAAAAAAGCAGAAACATGAAGTTGCAAACCATCCAGAGACTCCTAATAAATTGCGTTACCTGTTAATTAATTATTTCATTACAAATCTTTTATCTCAGTTTTCTTATGAAGACTATAACTGATTTTCTTATAAAATTGAAGATATTTATGGCGTATATATTCAATACTGAATGAACGCCATAAAACATTTACCAACAACAACAACAACCAATTTTCGCACACATTTGTATTTCTGAAAAAGAAATAAGAATGACTGAATAAATGATTAGATTAATGAAGGGACGAACGAATTAATGAATAGATGGATAAATGAGTTAATTAGTTGATAAATTAATTAATTAATAGTTACATGTAGCCAGTTCTTTATTCCCATGGATGAATGGATCCGAGTCAAGTAATTTTATGGAGAGTATAACGATGAACGAATTACGTAATTTGTAAATCGAAGAAGACCTGAATGGTTAGATAAATGGATGGATGGATTAAAGGGATACATTGTTTGATGGTTGTACATTTCTTTATTATCAGTTATCAACAGTGGATTATAATTACAATGTTATAACTATTATTTGATTTGTCTAGATGCATTTCTTATATGTCTCGTAATTGTATGTTCTTAATCTACCGAATAAAAGAATATAAAAAGGATGATAATGCTAATGATATTAGATGAATACGAATATGACTGGATTTTTCGAATGAATTGATTATCATATATGCACTTTTTGTGATTCTAGTGGACTATTTCAGACCTAGCGTGCGTCCATTATTCCATGATATCAGTGCCTCTATACAACAGTCTGGGATGGAAATCGTGCAGATACATCGTCAACAAAAGTAAGTTAACCATTTATTAAATCCAAAAGTTTTGTGACCGAAAAAGCTAGTTCTGTTGTTTACATTGCAATGTAAGGTAAAAATGTACACACACATTGTGGTATACACATTTTGGTATGTATTCAAATGTGTTCCAATATTGTTTTCGAGATGTTTATCGGATTGATAAATGATTATGTGGTGGTATGCAAATTAATGATTATTAGAATGAGCTCACGTGGAGATTGGAAATAATTCTTCACCTAATGATGATGACGATGATGATGATGGTGATAGTGATTGTAGCGGTGATGATGATGGTAATATAGTGATGATGGTAGTATTTATGATGATGGTAATAATGTTGATGATGGTGATGATGATGGTGTTACTGGCAATGGTTATTGTGACTGTGATGTTAATTTCAATGATGATTATGATGATGATGATGATGATTACCAAACAGGGCTTCATGGAAGACCACCATAATTGGTGAAATGTGCCACCTTGTATAATTATCAGAAGTAAATAAATATATAAATAAACATGGTCTTGATGGTGATGGTGAGGAGGAGGAGGAGGACAATGGCGGTAAATATTATGATGATGTATAACGATCGCGCCTCGGAATGACGAAATTTAAAAGGCAAGATAAGAAAAGCCGCGCGCAGCACTCGACAGAAAATTGTGTTGCAGATAGACGTAGATGGCGCAATAGCACGACTCTCCCACCGACGGCTATCAGATGATTTTTGCATGTATTGTAATGGTGCATTTGATATCAAGCGTGATCAAAAGAGAAATCTTATATTTTAATCATGAAAATGTCATATAGTTTCTCTAATTTATAATCTTCGCACTTGACAACATCTGCAGTACATGTTGCAGGAATTTAATTTCCTTCTTCTTCTTCTTCTTCTTCTTCTTCTTCTTATTTTTCTTCATTCTTCTTCTTATATTTCTTTTTCTCATTCTTCTTTTCTTTCTCATCCTTCCATTTTCTTCTGCATATAGTTTTTGTTCTCCCTTTCTTTTTCTCACTCCTAATTATTCTCCACCTCCTATTTTTTTTAAATTCTTTTATTGGGCAGAAAACACTTGGTATCACAATACAGAATTGGAAATAAGTAATCAATAGCAAATCACACACAAATACATGGACACTGGGTGCACCCGGCTGTGCTGCCACGCCTTGATTCACCTACCAAATAACTGTAGTCCGCAGACCGCCCCACCTATATCCCATCCATAAGTTACCAGTGGTGCAGATTTATGTGACAAGGACAATAAGAGATACATGTACCACATTCACATAATTAAAATGCGTCAAGAGAAACCCTACAAATTTCCAACAGATGTTGAATCACACGCTGGAGACCCACGACCACTCCAGCAGAAAAAAGGGGCACAATTATGATCATTGAGTTAACCTTCATTAGGGAAAATGTTGTATCCGGAGTGTGATTCATTTACCTTTAACAAAAACTATAGGCCTATACGTGTATTAAATATAATATGTATATAGAAACATATGAAATTACAACAGTGATAACATTGCACAGATAAATTTCTTCTTCTTCTCCTCCTCCTCCACTTCTTCTCCTTATTTCTTTTTCATCTTCTCCTCATTCTCTTTCTTCTTCTCCTTCTTTGTTTCCTTCTCATCCTTCTATTTTCTTCAGCATCTAAATAATTTTCTCCCTCTCCCGCTTCTTCTTCTTATTTTCTCCTCCTCCGAGCTTCTTCATCTTCTTCTTCTCCTCATCTTCTTCTTCTCCTCTTATTCCCACTTCTTCTCGTATTCTCCTCATTCTCCTTCTTACCCTCTTCTTCTTCTGATCCTCCTTCCCCTTCCTATTCATAAATACAAATCAACTACCCGTGTATGCAATATGCCACACACAACTAGTGAAGGTTCATGTGCATATAGAGGTCTCATATGGTGTCCCATTTTCAAGCCATTTTATTATATACACGATGAGTCACGATGAAGGAGGTATATTCTTCGTGTCAATTCTACTGTGGTATTTACGTCATAGCTTATTTTTAGATGGAAGCTATTGAAGAACGGTTGAAGAATGAGGAAATTAAATGTCTGCAGCAAGATGCACAAGAGAATTCATTTCTATTGCATTTCATCCGATTTGGGATTAAGAGCATTTTTTTTTACAATAGACATGGCAGAGGAGAAAAGAAAGAAAGATATAGAAGACACTATTTTATAGATGATGACATGAATGAAAAATGAAAAAGAAAAATAATTCACAACCAGGCCGAGCCCCCCCCCCCCAATAATAAAACACCGAATACCTTTACTTGTATTCTATCCCTATATTGCGTCCCATTCATATTTTCAGACACAAAAGGCTCCTGACAAAGTGTGAACTTGAAATTTGTTGTATTTTGTGTAAATAGATTGCATTGTTGTTTTTAAATCTCAGCTCATGCAGCCATGCATGCACTAATCAGAACTCGAGCATGAAGTATAACGTCTGAAATTACCCGTGAAAATTGCTTTTGTTACCATTTCCTGCTTTTTTCGCGCCAATGACTATACTGTACTTACAATGGGTCTGTGTGTCGATCCTGTGTATACGGTATAATATGTACATGTATTTATGAAGTTCATTCACACTCGTTGCAAAATTATGCACCGTTATATTCTGCACTCAATGTATACACACGCATTGTGTGAATAATATTAATACTAATATATAGTTGTGCAGTATGATGGATGGTAAAATATACACTTCAGGATTGCCACTCCAAATATAATTCTCCAGCTTTCTCCCTTTCTTGATGCAACGAAAGTGCTTGATATCCAGTAACGGTTTCGGGGGGGGGGGGCTTTGTGGCTCAGGGGCTCAATCCCCCATCCCGAGTTTTCATGATTATAAAATGAGGCACACGTAAAAAAGGAGAGCAAAGACCCAAGCCCACCACACCCACAAATTGTTTCATTTTATAGAACTGTGAACTGCCTGTTCATATCAATGTATATACCCCTCCGAAGGTTACAACATTGTGGACCGCATATAAGCCCCAGCGCCCCCCCCCCCCCCCTCCCCTCCCGTCCCTCTCTCTCTCCTCCCTCTCCTCCCTCTCTCCCTCTCTCTCTCCCTCTCTCTCTCTCTCTCTCTCTTCTCTCCCCTCTCTCTCTTCCCCTCCCCCTCCCCATTGCTTTGTACCCCTCTTTATCTCTTCCCGCCCATTTTTCAAATCCAGCCTTTATTTACTTCCTCGACTTGAAATAAACGTGGTATAACTGTCATCATAAGTATAGAGGTCCGTTTCTGAGATTAGGGCATTGTAGACGCATAATTATATTACCAGCAGGTGGTCTGTAATATCATTATTAGTCGTTGTCTGCAGACCTTGTATCTGTTAAGCCATGTCCCCTAAGTCGATAACTGTGTTTAATCCTCAATGACGTGAACTAAATTCAAGTATTTTGAAATGCGTAACTAATCACTCGCATGACTGCTAATAAATTATCTTCATGCAATATGCAACTTGAGTCCGATGTTACTTCCTCAACCTCAAGCTGCCAAAATGATTGACGTTGGATAAGTGCGGTTTCGTCGATAGACTAGTTTAAAAAAAAGGCGCGGGCGGACGAATCTGAGAGTGAAGAAATTTATTCAAAAGCGGGAGTGATTCATACATCGATATCATACGACGTCTGCAAGCTCACCTTACGACACTGCAGTTGTCCAATTTGCTCTCAAAAATCTACCAAAATGGTAAGTAATTTTCACATTATGTTCTCTTAATATCACATTAATACCGTTTGATAGTCATGTGTATGATATTTTCAAAAGCTAATTCGTATCTGGGTTAGGGAAATCGTGATTTTAAGACATTTTTGTCAGCCAGATTTTGAATGATTGCGCAGCGATCGTGTGCGACGAAGAGAGATGATTTGGGTGTGTCCGTTGATTGCTTTTCTATAGATGGAGAATGAATGGAACACGTGTAGGAGAATATGGGAGGATGGATGGATGAGAGAGCAAGATTTGTTTTAAATACCAATACTCTGCATCTTGCATGCCTTTTGCATGTTAGTGATATAATCACGCATTCGTTCTCCTTGAACAGTTGATGAAAATGGTTATGTAGATGTGATCATTGTGATACTGTATTTGCATCAATGCTAAAAGAATGATTGTGAAAAGAGATGTCTTTAAATTCTTTAATGAATTTAAAGGTTCGACAATATACTCTGGCAGCTCTAACTACCCATTAATTATCAATTTGCATTATTAGTTAGTGTTTGAACGCATGTATACTACACGTAAACCGACATAGTCACAGGCCTATCATAAATAATAAAGATTTAATATTCCGATCAATGAGAATAACTTATCGTTGATATTTTTGACGATAATCTCCCGAGATTAAGAGTTTTTAAGACAATTACAATTCGTCCGTGAAAAGCTTTAGAAGCTCCACTACGATTTATGCCTATGCTATGGTACTTCTACATTTACCACAAATCTCCAACACGCTGAACAATTCAATATTTCCATGTCGCTATAAATATAATCTGACGATGATAAATATAATTGTAGTCAGATAATTTAATACTTGCCATGCTTCAAGGTTTTCACAAACAATGACTGCATGCACATTAGCATTAAATCCTTGATTTAAAAAAGAGGGAGTGAAAGAGAGAGAGAGAAAAGAAAATCAATGGTTTCTCACCACTTTTGCTTCATGTTACTTGTAGACGAAAAATAAATGTTATCTTGTTTGGAGAGAATGGAGAGTGTTACTATCCTATGCCACGTTTTTCAATTCATGCAAGGCAACGCAGTTCGGTAAAGTTAATTGAATTTAGTTTAAATGCCAACTGCCAAGCAGAGCAAAACAGGCGGAAAACTCATTGGAAGGTGAAGAAACTACTCAAATTCAAATCCAAATATGGTGTTGGGGTCTCTTTATCTCCTTCATCTCTCTCTCTCTCTCTCTCTCTCTCTCTCTCTCTCCCTCTCTCCCTCTCTCACACACACACACACACACACACACACACACACAATTTCGACGACGGCGGTTATTTTCTTCTCACTCACAATGCCAAGGGCAAAGGCACACAATAGGAAAAACACGTAGAAAGGTGGACAATCAAACAAGCATGAAACCGCAACTGAATATTTCTATAGATCCCTTTCCAATCAGTTTATTCAATTCAAGGGCGCAAAGTGTATAATTATGAAGGACTCCAATTATGATGTGATTTAATGGAAGAAATTGAATGTTTATATACTACCTCAGCGCATGGACCTAACACAAATGCCCAGAGCCTGCATGTGCCTCACAATAATATTTTTTTTTTAATGATTATTCGTTTTACTGGTATTTCCTCTAGTCTACATTTTCATACGGTTCTAGAAACGATCCCGTCTTGTTGCCCATAGGCATATCTTCCACATTATATTAGCAGTGCATGGTAAATGTGAATTTCGAATGAACGAGAAACTCAACCGCTTTTATCGCCTTCACAAGAAAGAGATTAATATTTTAGAAAGTAAAGTGAGAATTGTTTTTGTTATATTCCCTAAACGAATGCAGGCCCTGCGTCTTAGTTGTAACACTCAGATGAGAGGATTAAAACAAATATGTTAATGTTATTCATGATGCTGCATTGTAATATGTTATTGTCAGATCATACACCGCAATGATAAGGAAATGATCAACGCTCTCTATATTAAAAGGGCGGCATTTCCTTGTGAACAAGAAGTAAATCCATCAACAGTCTATATTTCACTTTCATGCCATTGAACACGGAAACCATGTAATTAATGTCAGACACAGGAAGTATCGGTATGAACAAATTTTCTTCCCAGGAAATAAGAATTTTCACAAGGCATGCACGCGGTCAAAATCGGTTGTAAATTTCGCGCCAAAAATAATATCCCTTTGCCGCAGTGCAGGCGGCAAGGTTGTCTGTATTGTAATGTACAGCAGAAGTTAATATGTATGCGGGTATTAGGATGTTTATGTCTTGCCATAAAATCGAGTTTTCGCTCTTATGTAAGAGTTAGAGTACAGTCCGGGCATTTATGACTATTGTACGAGTCGAATCATATGGTACATTGCATTATATTTTACTTACGCCTAACATGACGTGAATAAAAATATGTAGTGCAGTAGAAAAATATGCCCAATGAAAAAACTGACAGTCGGCATTAGATATCAGATTCTGTGAGTCAAATTTCAGACCTGCCTGAATAAATTAAGTTTGATTTTTCACTTGTGCGCAAGACCTGAGTCAGAATAACCCCCCCCCCCTAATAAAAAAAAAAATGAAAATATGAGGCAAAATGACATTGCTGTTACGAAAATGTTTTTTATTTTAAGTTTGAGGGATAGGGAAGGAGGACCATCTACTTCGCATTTTCTATGGGGCATCACTAACATTTATACTTGTGTGTATAGTATGTACAGAAGCATCGATCTGTTCACTATGTTATAAACGATGTAGTTGGTGCTTCTAATTAGTCAATAGTGTGTAGAATACCATAGCTCGTATATTACAGTAATCTACTACAATGGAATGTAAAAACTGGTCGATGGCAAACATCTGCTTCCTGTATTGTACATTTCAAGCTGAAATTGAACCATGTGTATTGTGTAATTTACTCAGTCACGCTGTGATTGTCTTTGCTCTTACGGAATCGAAAACAAAACAATCAATTGATTATACTGGCAATTTATGGCAGTTATGCTCTATTCAAGCTAAGTAATAAATCTACATTTAGCCTTGTTCCAAAGATGTAGGCTTTATTTAAGGTTTTTTTCAGTGATAGATCAAGAATAATTTTATGTGACAGGGTTGTAACATAATGTTTGTTTAGGAGATGTGACATTTGGGGTGGTGCAAGCAAATAGCTTTCCTTTTGTCCAATCATAGGCAGATATGTATGGCAAATTTCATTGGTTGACGGCGGAGGGGGTGCCCAATTCCCACATCCCTGCCACCTTAAGTGGTATAAAGTGGTAGCAACGTTGAGCATTACTCCAGGCTTTTCTCCTAATATGCAAAATAATAATATATAATATAAAATAAAAATAATTTTTGATCAATTTTGCCATTTTATTTTTTTCAACACGGCGCGGTAGATATAGTAGTAGTAGCCTCTTCAATAAGCGAATTACAAATTCACCTTGCTTTTGTTTGGATATTTTTTTTTTAGTTCTATGATTCATTTTTATCAAGCATGAGATAATTTTGCTCCGCTTCCTCTAAAAACCTTTTTATTTCCTGTAAAATGAGAGAAACAGGCCAGTGAAAGTTTGAGCAAAAACTGATTGATGTTGCTGTTGCCAATTTGTCTTTTACTGAGGAGTGACGGAAACTTAAAAAATCTATAATTTAATTAACTTTTCTATATCTTTTTCCGGATATTGCTCAAACTTTCATTAATTTGTTTCTCTCATATGTCACCTTTTATTAAAATTGAATTATCAGGGTGTACATCTCCTTTAAAAATTGTTGTGATGTGTGGCGTTGTTTCATGTTTTTTTCTTCTCCATCTCTCTTTTACAGCGGGAATGTATCTCAGTCCATGTCGGCCAAGCCGGAGTCCAGATGGGCAATGCCTGCTGGGAGTTGTACTGCCTGGAGCACGGCATCCAGCCTGATGGCCAGATGCCCTCAGACAAGACCATCGGAGGTGGTGACGACTCCTTCAACACCTTCTTCAGTGAGACTGGAGCTGGCAAGCACGTTCCTCGGGCCGTGTTCATCGATCTCGAGCCTACCGTAGTCGGTATGTTCAGATCAAAAATCCTGTTATTTTGGTTGCTATTAATTCAAGGAAACATAAACAGAGAATAGGTGATTATACATCATTGAAAGACGTCAGCAATTTCGTTTTCCTCTATCCTTGCGAGTTGTGATGACAAAATGCCAAAGACAAAGAAAAGCACATTATGATGGAGGAAATCAAAAGATATTCGCTTGATAAATGTTATTCACTGGTAATATCGTCTTCTGCCCGCAAGAATGCTCTTAATACCATTGACAAATGATAATGCATAGCTCTTAGTCTATACGGCTTCCTGACAGACAGCCGACGTTTTCTCAAGGATATGTTTTCCTCCTTTCCATCTATCTCTTTTTATCTTTCTTTCTTTTCTAAACAATATATCTATTTCTTTACATGTCAAACAGTTCCGTTTCCAACTTTTTTTTCTTTCTTTTTTGTAGATGAGATCCGTACCGGTACCTACCGACAGCTCTTCCACCCCGAGCAGCTCATCACCGGCAAGGAGGATGCTGCCAACAACTACGCCCGTGGTCACTACACAATCGGCAAAGAACAGATCGATAACTGTCTGGATAGGATCAGGAAACTGGTAAGTTTGACGACGATAGAGGGCGACAGAGCATCCCAACTTGAGACTTGCTGAATTCAATTCACTTCAATTTATTTCATGTTTCCAACAAAATATTACAAATCAATAATAAACATTTACAACAATTTAGGGATATATTTTGGAAACAGAGGGTCCACTGAACTTAGATATCGTTGTGAAATAAAGATAATACAAAATGAAATAAGTCTGCAATCTGTATTGAATGATTAAGGAGTGAGTGACAAAATGCTCCAGAATTATTTTGTCTCGTGTTGAAAGGTTTTATTTAAATACTAAATGTGTCCTGGTAAAAGAAATATTAACCTTCTAATTGATCTTTCTTCCATTGCAGGCTGACCAATGCACGGGTCTTCAGGGATTCCTCATCTTCCACAGCTTCGGGGGCGGCACCGGCTCCGGGTTCACCTCCCTGCTCATGGAGCGTCTCTCTGTCGACTACGGAAAGAAGTCCAAACTAGAGTTCGCCATCTACCCGGCTCCTCATATCGCAACCGCCGTGGTGGAACCTTACAACGCCATTCTCACAACCCACACCACCCTGGAGCATTCCGACTGCGCCTTCATGGTCGACAACGAGGCCATCTACGACATCTGCCGTCGCAATATGGATATCGACCGCCCTTCCTACACCAACTTGAACCGTCTCATCGGCCAGATTGTTTCCTCCATCACCGCTTCTCTGCGGTTCGACGGCGCCCTCAATGTTGATCTGACGGAATTCCAGACCAACTTGGTGCCATACCCACGCATCCATTTCCCTCTTGCCACCTACGCTCCGGTCATCTCTGCCGAGAAGGCCTACCACGAGCAACTGACCGTCGCAGAGATCACCAACGCCTGCTTCGAGCCAGCCAACCAGATGGTGAAGTGCGATCCTCGTCATGGCAAGTACATGGCGTGTTGTCTCCTGTTCCGTGGTGATGTTGTCCCCAAGGATGTCAACGCTGCCATCGCTCACATCAAGACCAAGCGCACCATCCAGTTTGTCGACTGGTGCCCCACCGGCTTCAAAGTCGGTATCAACTACCAGCCACCAACCGTTGTGCCCGGTGGCGACTTGGCCAAGGTCCAGCGTGCCGTCTGCATGTTGAGCAACACTACAGCCATCGCTGAGGCTTGGGCCCGTCTAGACCACAAGTTCGATCTCATGTACGCCAAGCGCGCCTTCGTCCACTGGTACGTCGGAGAGGGTATGGAGGAAGGAGAGTTCTCCGAGGCACGTGAAGACTTAGCCGCCCTTGAGAAGGACTACGAAGAAGTTGGTGTCGACTCCGTTGACGAACAAGCTGAAGATGATGACGAGGAATATTAAACATTTCGGCGATTTTAGACGTCGGCCATGAGAGTCGATGCTAAAAAAGTCAGTCTACCGAACAACTCATCTAATACAAAATTTTGTTTCACATGAACGCCTTGCACAATCTTCTTTTAACCAAATTTAAGCAAGCAACAAAATATCCTGAAGCAAATCTTTCCGATGATAAAAAAGAAGAAACGCCCTGTTTTATTGGAACAAAAAAGTACATGTACATCGAACAAAACACTTTTTATTAAAAAGAGCTTTATAAAGTTTTTCCACTATATTTTGCCTTTTAGCGAGCAATGTGCAAATTGTACTTTTTATACGAAAACAAGTACATGTACATCTATCTGCAATATTTGTTTGTTACTTGTTAGCTGCAATATGAATTTTTAATGGAATCATTATACGTTTTACAAAAGAGCAAACAGTAATGTACTTGTATTAAACCTCATCGAACAAAGAAACGGCATTACATTCTCAAGAAAAATGTGTCCGAGTCTCTTTTTTAAAGTGCATTTTTATGTTTTGTTGTGATTGAAGTGTGTGTATGTTTTGTTTGGGATTTGTTTCTTCTGCAAGAAAAGGCTGAAGAGAGGGGTAAGGGCTTAGTGTAGAAAATGAACTGCGGAGCGATTGTCGATTGAGTATGTGTCGTGTTTATGTCTGTGCGTTTGATCAGTTGATGGCCAATATCTTGGGCTATGTTAATTGGTATTGAAGAAGACGAATGTGGTGCAATTGGTATAAAACAAAGAACTGATGGTTTTTGTTCGATGAGTTTGTAGAAAAGTGAGATTCGGATGTTTTGCAGTTGAAGATGGTGGTATGAATGTTACGATGATTTGGGTGCAAATGATGAGACGTTATATGGGAGTGTGAAAGACTGGAAGTGATTTTTTTCTAATGAATGCATTTAAGTTCGGTCCTCTGTTCTGCTCTTTCACATTATCTCTCTCTCTCCTCTCTCTCTCTCTCTCTGTCTCCTTCCCTCGGTTCTTTCTCTTCTTATTTTGCCTTCTGTATCACACCCGGGGGGGGGGGGGGGGGGGTCACTCTCATACACTATTGCTACCCACCCGTGTCCCATCAACCACGGAAATAGATCCTAATGGCGTATCGCACCTTTTCTGAAATGGACCCTAATGGCATATAGCACATTTTTTAAATGACCCGAATGGCGTTTGTATCGCACATTTTTCTGAAATCGATACTAATGATACCGTGTGAACCTTAAAAGGTACCCTTTTTATGATTTTTGTGCGATCAGTGCCTCAAAAACACCTTTTTGGAAAGCGTTGACGACGCCGTATAACCGAAAAAGACACTCATCGACGAGTTTTCTGGGGGCAGGTTGGGAGTGACCCCCCCCCCCCCCTCCCGGATTGAATGCGCGGTGTATGAGCGTCGTTTTATATAAGCCCATCCTACCAACTCTGGGATGCTCATGATGTTATGTGCGTCAGTTCGATATTTGAATTTCCAATTACGGTCTTATTTTAACCAAAAAATGCACAGGCAAAAATATCATAGTTGTAACTTGAAGAAACCCATGCCGAATTCGGAGAACCCGCTTACTATTATCTGTGTTGCCGAAGGCGGATATACTTTTGAAATAGCTTCTCAATCAAGTCGGGAAAGTGATAATCTTACAAATCGGCTCGGTTACACAGCTTCCAAATCGTTTCTTTTTTATTTCTGGTAAAACAAAAAAAGAGAGATAAAGTCATTCCTTTTCGTGTAGTTGTGTCTCGTTTTCGTTAGTCGTGTTTAATATACCTGTCATGTGATTTATATTTGTGTAGATGCTGTATTTCCATTGTGCCGATGTGGTATTTTTTATATTTCCTATCTAATTTTAATTCCTACTCGCTTTCCTATTTTCTTCTTCTTCTTCTCCTTCTTCTTCATCTTTATCTTCTTCTTCTTCTTCTTCTTCTTTTCTTCTTCTTCTTCTTCTCTTCCTATCTTTCTTCCCTGACAAAACTTTTTCAGTCAACCTCGTATATACTCTCGGCCAATTAACTTAAAAGTGTTTGATAATATCGGCAGGTCGTATGCACACACTTTCAACATTCTGCCTTTTCCCCACAGCGTTAATGTCGACCCTCATCGTCGATACCGTCGAAAAAGCGACGTCGATCATCGACCACGCCGATGCGATGCCCTCGTTGAGAGTCGTGGTCGTTATGGACCTCCCTGACGAGGGCACAAGTGACCTCAGACAACGGTACACGGCGCAGGGAATCGAGTTGTGCACCTTCGAGGAGGTGTTACGTCACGGTGCGCAAAAGCAAGCCGATCTCGTCGTAAGTGGCAGTGTGACCTCGTGTTTGCCAGAGCCATCGATACACAGAGTTTGGCAAACCCGGTTCGAGTTGGACACAATATGGCGACTACTGCTGTGTTGGGCAAGCACAACACAAAAGAATATACGCCATGTTGTGACCCAGTGAAACCTAGTTGGCCAAACTTTGTATATAGATGGCTCTGGTGTTTGCAAATATACACTCAGCAAAAAAAGAAGAGTGGACAATATTTACAGATTAAATTGTCTTTTATATTTCAAAATGATCATCTATTAATCTTCTTTGAAATTATATGCAATAGGTCGGAATCTGGAGTGAGCATAACCATTTAGTAATAAATGGGTCTTTTAAAAATCTAACCATGCGATTTATATGAAAATTTGAACAATAACGAGTGTGTACTTTCTTCTTTTGCTGAGTGTATCGAAAGAAAGAAATTAATTTAAGGGAGTTTCAGTACCGTACAGAAATCGTGATCAGTTTATGTTTTTCTTTTTTCTTTCTGTTTTACTGTGGGCAGAGAAAATTATCGGGAAAATTAAGATAAATAGGAAGATTGAGATTCAGGGAGAGGGGGGAGGGAGAAACTCGGAGTAAAGAGTGAGAGGAGAGGGGAAATAGAGAGATAGACAGCATGAGAACGAAAGAGGGAGAACCGGAGATAAACGGAGAGATCGAGAGATGGATGGCTGAATTACAGCAAACAAGATGAGGTACACGGAAGTTAGGGGCGGCTTCATGATATTCTCAAATTTTCTCATGTCTAGCTACCGTCGCCAAATGATATCAACACAATCTGCTTCACAAGCGGGACCACAGGTGAGATTGATTTATTTTAGAATGAAAATGATTTTTGTTTTCATAAATATGAACCTTTCATTTTCTCCTAACATAAAAGACGCGAACAACTTGAACATTGGAGAAGCTTTGAATTCTCTTCTGTCCTTTGCTTATATGGTTTTCTACAAATGATGCCACAGTCCTTGTTCAACTTACTATGATCGTCAAGGAATATACTAATAAAGTCCATCGCACACTATACGATCTGACTACGATCCGATTGTGGAAGAATTTGCAATATCAATTGATATGAATATTCAAACATGTAAAAGTTTAATGACCGAGGATTTGAATAGCCATATGGTTAATAATTAATATATAGGTTTCAAAGAAATGTCAAGCTTCCTCACACCAAAACATGTAAGTATAAAAATAAAGATAAATATACTTTGCGCACATAATTAAAGGAAACCGCAAATAAGTGTAAGACAAAGTAATAATTACACCATATTTTCAGGACAACTTTGATTTGTTTTAAAAAAAAAGAATTATTATTTAATCTATTTTAATCCGTTTATCTGTATGATTATTAGGTTTGCCGAAGGGTGTCCCACTCAAACACAAGAATCACATCGCCAACCACTCAGCTATATTTGCTACATACCAGGTAAATGATCGGAATTTAAACTTCTTTCTAGAAAGATTGAGGTAGAGCTATAGTATTAATGATTCCATAGACTCTCAAAATCGTGCATGTTCGTCAAATATTACAAATTTTTATTTTGTTTTTAAATATATATATATATATTTTTTTTTTTTAAATATTTATAATAAAACAGCTATTCATTAAATGTTGAAGATTCACCTTTAACTATCGTAGATTCAAACTGTCAAAAATATGTATTCAAACATATATTCTCGTAAGTGTCCTTCGTAACAAATTGTTTAGATTTTATTCATATATGAATAGACACTTTTGAGAGGGGAGGATGACAATTGTTTAAAGATTAGAAGAATATATGTATGCAAAAGCCAGTGTAATATTGTTCAATGTTCAACTGATAACGCAGTGACGAAGTGCGCCTTATACAAACGAATTTTAATCATTACTGTCAGTGGTATTATTATCATTTTTTATATCATCTTTGTTATCAGTTTTGTTATCATTTAAATCCAACCGCTTAGTGGCTTGGACCATTTCAGATTTCAGACTACTCATTGCAAAAAGAAACATCATTGACATAACATATGGTCAGGCGCGTACGCAGGGGGGGGGGGGGGGTGTGTTTTGTTTTGTTTTTTTTTTTTTTTTTTTAATAATAAAAAAAAAAATATATATATATATATATATATATTCCCATGGCTGACCTAAAAAAGGAGCAAAATGTCAAATTTTCAAATTTCGAGACCAAAAAAAAAAAAAAAGTGTCCTCTTACCCCCCCCCCCCCCCCCCCCCCCCCCCCCCCGCTTATTCAGCGGCTGGCTGAGTCGATACGAAATTTTCGGCCCGATATAAAAATGTTAACCCCCCCCCCCTTGAAAAAATTCTGCGTACGCGCCTGTATATGGTAGTGCAAAATACCCAGCACAAGCAACATGATACATCATTTAACAAAATTTAACTATGATTAGAGTCGATGATGATTTTATGATATTATTCACACCCTATTACTTTGCTAAATTATCTGAATAGGACAGTGAAATGATGGATCATGCCGATGTTCACCTATCCCTCTTGCCCTGTCCTCATGTCTACGAGAGGGGCAATATCGTAAGTATATCTTCTATTTCCCTATTTCCTAAATTTGATGCTTAATTTTTGTTTGATATAGATCAGTTTCATCCAGTATTTTTACTTTAAAGCCCCACTGTACTACTTACATGTAGCAAACAATGCCTAATCGGTGCCTGTTGGTCCCCCATGATCCCCTTTTCTTATGTTAATTGAGAGCTGATTTGATTAGATAACCACCTGTCAGTGACCTTGCAGGGTGGTCAAATCCCCCCTGGCCAAACTAGTACAGACGGGCTTTAAAGACGCATAGTAGTGGGCTCTCATGGGGATTTCGACACCATTTGGGTGTTTACCCAGTAATAGGTGTTGTCAATCACCAGGATAAGCCTTCAGTTTTATGACCATCAGGCCTAATGTAATGCTTTGTATTTTCCACCGATTCCCTCATATGGTAGAGTCCTTGTCTTACGTTTTCTTCACCAGAAAACTCTCCGAGAGACTAGGAGTTATTTTTTTTAATTGGACTTCGGGTTTGTTGTGTGCAGACTTGTACATCCATTAAAGGCATAATTGATTAACAATGTTAAATCTGAGATGCTCGGCCCTACGTGTTATCAGTGTCTGTGGTATGGTGTAATATTGAAGCCCTAAACGAATTGCGCTTCAAAATGATCAAGAAGTGCCTCAAAAAAGTAAAAAATCTTTGAGTGACCGGTTTTACCATACTCGTTTTCCCCAATAGACTGTAGTGTTCTGAAAACCGTTAGGAAAACAAAAAATGAAATTTCCATTTTCATTTTTTTTTTCAATCATAAATATCTTGATAATCAGACAGGCGATCGGCTTGTAGAAGTCATGGGGTTCCTGACTAAATCCAAGATTATGTTTCAGAATCTGAGACAAAGTTACCCAATCCCTTTAAAGGTAAAGACCAGTTATGGTCATGTGATTGCATTGTGAAAGAAACGTTATGGAATCGATCAAAAAAGGTTGATCATCTAGCATCTAGCGTCTGCAAGGTTCTGGAATCATCAAAATGATAAGAAATTTGGCCCATTCTTCGTAAAGTTACAAGCACTATACACAGAAAGATGTATATGGGACTACCCTATATCTCTCACAGACCATGAGAGAAACAAATTTACCAAATATATGAATTAGTAGGCGGTTTCCCGGCAAATTTTGTATCATCATGTATTAGTCAAAACATATTCTTTCACATGATTGGTAATGAGAGCTTCCATTTCATTTTTGAAATTGGGGCGTTTCCAATACTGGTCTTTACCTTTAAAGGTATTTCCACTAGGTCTGATGTTAGCGAATTATTGCCTTCTGCACATGGAAACCAACGACCCGCTCCCTTTAAAATTACATCTTTCCACATCTATTAGAGTACTCATACTATTTGATAATGTGCTCACAATTTGATCTTCTTATTTGTTGCAGTACAATGTCATGACAATGGGTCTCCAGGTCGGTTTCTTCAGCGGTGATATATTAAAACTCATCGATGACGCACAGGAACTCAAACCAACAATCTTCGCAGCAGTGCCGAGATTATACAATCGACTCTTCGATAGAGTAAGCTAAATTTGTCATAGAGGTCCACTCACGTTAAAAACAAAATAAAGAGCTACTATCACAGAAAACGAAAAAATTATGTTTTATTAATTTTTAATATCATATACTATGAATCGTGCTTTAAGAAATTTCCAACTTTCCAATTTTTTATTTCAATTATCCTTATTTTCTTTTCTTTTTTTAACTTTAAAATGGTATGAATATTTAGCAGATGTTAATAGCCTTCAAGTTTATGCCAAGTGGATGCCGAGAGGACTCGGGGGGGGGGGGGATTCCGAGTGGACGCAGGGAGGGTTCCGAGAGGATTCCGAGTGGAATCCGAGTGGATGTCGGGAGGGTTCCGAGAGTATTCCGGCAGGATTCCTAGAGGATTCCGGGAGGGTTCTGGGAGGATTCCGGGAGGGTTCTGGGAGGATTCCGGGAGGGCTCTGGGTGGATTCCGGGAGGATTCAGGGAGGGTTCTGGGAGGATTCCTAGAGGATTCCGGGAGGGTTCTGGGAGTGTTCCGAGTGGATTCCGGGAGGATTCCGACAAGATTCTGGGGGGATTCCGAGTGAATTCCGGGAGAATGCCGAGATGATGCCGAGTTTACACGGATCTAGGTAGAAATACCATTAAAGATGCACATACTGGTTCGAAATTTAGAAAAAAAAGTGTTTATATAAAGTGTTCTATACAACAGTGCATCACTTGATCAAAATGATATCAATATTTGTAATTAGACTTGTAATGCCCCTTCTGTTTCAGATTCGGACAACTGTAGATAGCGGCAGCACCATCAAAAAAGCAATATTCAACCATGCTCTCAATCAGAAAATGAAAGATCTCGAACAGTGAGTGCAGTTCCATTATTAACCCTTTCGAGCCCAAGCCAAATGGGGTTCTAAAATCCTTAGATAGACAAAGTCAAAATCCCGATTTTATCCAATTAAGTCATTTGTATTGAAATGGTAGATTGTTATTTTTCTAATCGCCCGCTTTTACAGTATCACAGACGGATCCAAGTGGGCGAGACAGCCGAGGCAAACTGAGAGAGATAGCGAGAGAGAGAGAGAGAGAGAGAGAGAGCAGGGGGAGGGGAGAAAATGAAAAACAATGATTGATGAAAGAAAAATAATGACTACCTCCTTTCGGGGCCGGCGAGTTTCCTGCAGTAAAAATTAACAATTTCTTTTCGGGAAATGATTTTGTTGCTTGCTAAAAAAGTTAAGGAAATCCAACCTTCGTTAAACTACTCTAAATGAAAGCAAACAAATCTGAGAAACATATTGGTGAAAGTTTGAATGAAATCTGACCATAAATGAGAAAGGTATGATTTTTTTAAAAATTGTAATGACTGAACGTATTGGCGATTCAAATTGGCAGAATCAGTAATGTCACTTTGTAGTGCCGTAAAACTGTCCTTTTTTTATTTTTTCCAACAAATAAATTGACTAAAATTTCAATTTTTCCAAATGTTTGACTCAGAGGGGTCTTTTCTCTTTAGAGAACCTGATATGCTACAAACAATATATTTCGAGACGCGGCCAAGGGAGAAGGTTCATTAGGAGAACAAACGAAATTGATGATATTTTTGTACATGACAAACAACGGTAGATTTTATCAGTGAACACGAAGCAATCCACTGACCAAATTGACAATTTGCGATTCGCATAGATTCTGTGATCTCATATTTCAAACACTCATTACTTTCTTATTATAAGTTCGATTTATACCAAACTTTTGCCATTGTGTTTCTCTTTAATTTTCCGCTTGGCATTCGAATGAGATTATTACAAGGGATGGATTGTCCTTTAAAGTAAATCTTAAGCCAACCTGTGCTAGTGTACAGGAGGGAATATACCACCCTGCAAGGTCACTGGACAGGTGGCTATCTCATCAAATCAGCTCTCAATTAACATAAGAAAAAGAGGATCATGGGGGACCAATGGTCACCGATTAGGCATTGTTTGCTATATAGAGGGCGCAAGTAGATAAAAGTAGTACAGTGGGGCTTTAACTCATATACTAAGACTGTGTTTCCTCTATCACTATACTAGGGGTACACTGAGTCGAGATACAGTTTGGGACAAGCTAGTCTTCAAGAAGGTTCAGGTGAGATCCAATTACGGTGTGAAATCTCATTAAGCAAATAAGAATAAAATAGATACATAGATTCTACCAGGGCCGTGTCTTATAGAGAGTTTCAATTAAATTCAATTTCAATTTAATTCATTTATTGTTCATCAAAAACAAAGTGAACACAAGAGCATAATAAAGCAATGAAATCAAAATATAAAATGGTGGGATACTCTTAAAAGCGGCAGGGTCGCAGTCTTTACACAAATGATAATTAACAATATTACCTAGAGCCAGAGTAATTTTAAGTTGCGGTTCATTTATTTGATTGCTACTTAACATAAGAAAGATGATATCTGTCGCATCTCTTTACATAAAATAAAAGAGGAGATTGTGTCATTGTGAACGATATGGATCAATGGAAACCATTATGACCCTGTCCTAATCCGTTTTTGGTTTAACATTTTCTTTTAAATGCTGTCTTGTAACGGGCAAGACTCTTCAGAATTGAAGGAGGCAGACAAGCAAGCAGATGAGGGCTTAGAGCCTTGTTTCACAAAACCAGTTATCAATAACAACAGATCTATAACAAATCTGTTCATATATAGCCAATCAAATTAAAGGATTTCAATAGCTTATAACAATACTAGAGCGCTGTAATGGCCCCTTGCTAAAGCCAGGGTAATAATCGGGGCAGCGCTAGGAGCGTCACGACGTGACGGACATGTGCGCTATATAAGAAGCCGCCATTAATATTGTTATTATAATTATTGTAATTGATAACAATTTTTATGAAACAGGGCGCTGTGGTTGCAGATTCGAATCCAATCCAGTGCTTATTCTTTCCATTCTTTTCTTAAGTTCATACCTTATTTCTGCTTGCATCAGCTTAGATACTTTTTGTTGACTAAAATTACCAAAGAACACTCCCTTTTAATTCTAGTATCTTTTACTGTTGATAAAACTTAGGCTTGAATTGAATTTGTTGTCCGGTATTGTCACCGAAAGCACTATATATTTTGGATGTTTAGGAGATTCTCGGCGGAAGGTTACGGTACATGTACACGGGTGGCGCCCCGATCTCTGGCGAGGTGATCACATTTCTCCGGTGTGTATTCGGCTGCTCGGTAAGTTTGTAAAATAATGCGATTCATATACTTTTGATTTATTTGTTTGTTTGTTGTAGAGTTTTTTATGAAAAGAAAAAGGGGAAAGCGTTTTGTCATGAAATAATGTTCTTTTCTTTGAAGATGCATTTTACATGCTCTATAGAGAGAGATGAATAATATTCAAAATCCTTGTGGAAAAACTCTTGTCCACTTTGTACTTATAAAAAGATGCAATCAAACGTTTCTCGAAAATTAGAAGACCCAATAGCAAGTTTGAGGTGCGTTATGGGGTAACGTTGAACTATTCTGCAAGAATCCCTGAGAAATATGGTATTTGGTACTTAGTATATTTCATAGTCATAAATTGAAGTAAAATTGAGATGACGATTTAAGGTTTATTTTATTAATACCGCGTACATGAGCCTTCACAACGCCTTAAATTGACGTTTTCACAGTTTGTGCAAGCCTACGGTCAGACAGAGACAACAAGCTGCATGACACACACGCTGCCGTCTGATACGACAAACGGTCACATCGGGCCTCCCGGGGGTGGGGTGGAGATCAAGCTGATCGATGTGCCGGAGTTGGACTACTATGCCGACAACAACCAAGGAGAGGTATTGTGATGGAAACAATCGTTCATAATGATGATGTCGTTCGCTCAGTGGGGGGGGGGGGGGGGGGGGGGTAGTGAGCACTTTTTTTTTTTTTGGTCCCCGAAAATTTTAAAATTTGCACCCCCCAAAAAGGTAAAAATCACGTGTTTTTACATTATTTTTTTCTCAAGGGGGGGAGCCCGGGCCACCCGCCCCCCCCCCCCCCCCTGGATCCGCCACTGTCGTTGCTTATGTTGGAGATGATGATGCTGATCCTGATGTTGATAATGAAATAATGAAGAGGAGGAGGATGATAACAATAGTGATGGTGATGACGATGTTGATGGAAATGATTATCGGATGCTGTTAATAATGATGACATCGACTGTGATAATGATGATGACGGTGTTAATGATGGTGATAACGATGATGATGGTGATGTTGATGATAGTGATGATGATGATGATGATGATGATGATGATGATGATGATGAAAATGATGATGGTGGTCGTGGTGGTGATGGGATGATGATGTAGAGGAGGAAGAGTTTGATTGTAACAGTGATGATTGCAACAATGATATAGACATAACAATTTCCGATTCTTACTCTAACATCTCACTCAATTTTGGGTCTTTTACTCTTGTAAGGTGTAACTAATCTATTCATAAAGTCTCTTTATAAACCATATCATTCGAGATATCCTTTCATATCCTCAAACTTTAATAGACAGTGAAAGTGGGAAATGATACCGTTCCTCATATTCTACGTATATATGTATAAAAACAAAAGAAGGAAAAATACCAAACTGATGTGTTTTCTCTAATTGTGCAAATGATTCTTTTCATTAGATCTGTGTCAAAGCAGCGAATGTATTTGAGGGTTACCTTGACAACCCCGAGTTGACAGCTGAAGCATTGGATGAGGATGGCTGGGTGCACTCAGGAGATATTGGAGAGTGGACAGAGGTATAGCTTCAGAAACTTCCTTCTTTCTTTCCTTACTTTCCTTATCTTTTTTTATAATTTTCTTCTTTGCATTTTTCCTTATACTTTCTTCCACTTTTCTTTTATTCTTTCATTTTTTCATTTTCTTTCTTTCTTTTTCACTTTCTTCCTTACTTTCTTCCTTATACTTTCTTTCATTTTTTTCCTTTTATATCTCCTTTCTTTATTCTTTCTCTCTTTCTCACTTTTCTATCCCTTTCTTCTTCTTTTTTTTTCTTCTTTCTTTCTCTCTTTCTTTCATAATCATCATTCTAATATGAATTTATTTTCTTCTTTTTATCTTAAGATTTACTCTCTCCAAAATGGCATATTTTTAAGATATATTTGATTTATGTAATCTGTGTAATATAATTAAGTAAATCATAGGCCCGCCCCCCCCCCCCCTTCCACTCCAGGAACGAAGGGACCGCATTCATATTCCCAAAATGTCTGGTAAAGGGGTACTTTTCAAGCAGCAAAGTCCGGCTCGTAATGCACAAAAAATCGGCCCTATTGACTTTACACACCAGACTTAAGGGGGTGTTTTCAAAAGGAGGGAACAAGAATATTGTCAAAAGAATATTGTCAAGTCTGCCGGTGGCTTCCAATATATAGGAAACTCAACGCACATATACTTCTTTTTATGTAATAGACTGGGACACTGAAACTGATCGACAGGAAGAAACACATCTTCAAGATGTCTCAAGGTGTTTACATCGCTCCAGAGAAGATTGAGAATACATTAGTGAGGAACCCACTCATTCAGCAAGTCTTTGTCTATGGAGACAGCACCAAGGTGAGATGTGATGGTTTCATTCGTAGATGATGGTGATGATGATGATGAGGAGGAGCAGGAGCAGGAGGAGAGGAGAAGCAGGAGCAGGAGCAGGAGGAGAGGAGGAGGAGCAGGAGAAGGAGCAGGAGCAGGAGGAGCAGGAGGAGGAGGAAAGGAGGAGGAAGAAGAGGAGGAGGAGGAGGAGGAGGAGGGGAGGAGGAGGGGCGGTGGAGGAGGAGGAAGAAAAAAAGGAAGAAGAAGAAGAAAATTAATAACAAAAGATGGGAAGATGATGATGGTGATGATGATGATAACTATGGTGATAGTGATGATGATGAGGATGCTGATGACAGTAATGTTGATGATGATGCCAATAAGGATGATGATAATAAAGATGGTGAATATTCAAGATATTGACGATCTTGAATGATCACCATTAATAAATTCCATGGAGCATTACAAATGGTCTTTGTCATATTGGAAATTATTTCTATAAGGTTCTTATTACTATTTATAAAGACAGATATTTCATTAGAGTATCAGTTGATTAATTCATTTCAAATCCTCTCTCTTTCCTCTTTAGGCCAATCTTGTTGGTATTGTGGTGCCTGACCCGGAATCATTTCCTGCATTTGCAGCCAAGTCTGGGGTTAAGGGGTCACTCCGTGAAATTTGTCAAGACAAGGTAAACAAAAAAACAAAACTCAGATTGCTACTTGTGATATGACTGTGGGATATATCTCATTCTGTTATTGGTAATTATTAAGATATTTTGCAGATGATGATGATAACAATGATTCATCAACTGATCAATTCAAACAATAACATTTCTTTTGAACCAATTTGTTTAATTACTTTAGATTGTGTATTATATGCTCTTGCTCAAAATCTAAATGTTACTAGAAAAGGGAATGAAATACTTTGTCCATTCTCTCTTTTTTATCTTCTTTTTTTTCCCACTCATCCATGTATGTAAATTCGATTTATTTTATGTAAGATGTGCAATATATTGAAGTTTCCATTATTATTATTGTTAATTTGTTCCTTGAACTAATTTTTGATTGTTTTCCATATTGATGTATTTTGTAGTTTTTCTTTATTTCTTTGAACTTTGTAATCTTTGTTTGTATCAGTCTCTCTGCTGTTTTAACATGGAATTTTGACTCAATAAACCGAAATGAAATTAAATGAAAAATGAAATTTCCTTCTTAACAGAAGGCAAAAGATGCACTCCTGGCAAGGCTCCAGGAGTACGGAAGGAGAAAGGACCTCCTTGGCTTCGAGGAGATGAAGGATATCCGGCTCCACGATGAACCCTTCAGTGAACAGAATGGTCTCCTAACCCCCTCTCTCAAGAACAAGAGACCCGACATTGCAAAGGAGTTTGAGGAAGAGATCCGAGATATGTACACCACTCTGGATTAAATGGTGGAAGTTGTTTGTTGTTTAGTATAGGTGCTCGAGTTGAATGGCTAGGGAGAGAAAGAGAATTTTTGAAATAGAAAGTGAATGAGGGAGAGAGAGAGAGATAGAGAGAGATAGAGAAGGGGGAGGGAGAGAGAGAGTGTGTGATTGTGTATGTTTGTAGGAGAAAATATATTGAGTGTATGAGAGAGAGAGAGAGAGAGAGAGAGAGAGAGAGAGAGAGGGGGGGGGGAGGGAGAGAAAAAGGGAGAACAGAGGTGGCTGGTGAGAGAGAAAGAGACAGACAGTCAGGAAAATAAAAAAAATGTGAGCAAGAGATTTTATGTGTATGTGTGTGTGTCAGAGAGGGAGAGAGAAGATTAACAAGAAATAGTGTTATGAAAATGCTGCTTTAAATGTGTACAAATGTATATATGAAGTATAACAAAGGAATGAAATATCCAGTGTACAAGTGAGAAGGCAATGACTTATAGAATAGAGATGGCTGATAGAGAAAGAGACAGAAAGACAGACAGACAGAGAAGGAGAAGAGAGAACAAAGAAGATATCAAATGAAAGTTGAAAGCAAATTGAAAAAGGTGCAAAGATGAAATACACAAAGTAATGATCAGCGTTATTCTTGGTGGTGCTTATTCTTGGTGCTGCCGGGTGTTTTTCTGGTTGTTTATGTTCTGCAATTTGGGGATAGTATATACATGTATTTGGAATTGAAATAACGTATATTATGTCCAGTACCAATTCATACTGAAGTCACCACGTAAAGAAGAAGAATGGTGTTCCAGAAGAGTGTACAAATTAGTATCAAAGTATTGAGGAGGACTTTAGATGAAAAAGATTATAAGGAAGACGAAAAACCTGCTACATATTAAGGACCAATTACAGTTTTGTATTCATCTTTCCTTCCTATACAATTTTGAATATACCTGTATAACTACAGACGTTCTACTTCTTCTAGCAATCGTCATAATATGTACGTGGAATAAATATTTTCTGAAATGCAGCTTGTGAACTCAGGAAAATATATTCATATTCAACCAGAGGCTGTTTCGGGTGTTGAACCCTAAACCTTCATTTGAACCATTGAGTTACCTAACCACTGAACCATCCATGATAAATAACTGCATGGGCCATGTATTGTATCCAGTTATACTGAATTGTATACATCATTATCCTTCTTTCAATACTCTGAAATAACCTAACATAATGCAGAGCTGCCAACTAGTACGGATTTTCCGTAATTGGTACGGAAATTAACGACCATTACGGAATGTTGTCTCAAATTACGGATTTAAAAAAAAAAAAAAAAAAAAAAGTTTTTTTTTTTTTTTTTTTTTTTTTTTTTTTTTTTAATGAATTAAATATGATTTATCGTAGCGAGTGCTGTGAATAGGAGCCATTTTTCATGATAAACTGTGTTGTGATGACCTGAAATTCAATACTTAACATCTTTGTGTGAGTAAAATCACCAAAAATTTCAGATAATCATGCGTCCGCGCAGTGTTGGCGTGTCGTTTTTTTAGATTCATAGCGCCGCATAAGAAATTACTGATTTATACCCCAAATTACTGATTTTGAGCCTTGTGATTACTGATTTCTGTTCTGGAGGTTGGCAGCTCTGATAATGTGACATTTACAACCGCATTGCATTTGTAATAGCGATGTTAAAAAAAGTCATAAAATATATTTTACTTGCCAAACTATCATTATCTGACAAAATACAGAGTTTGTGTCGAAGAGGGCTTGGTCGTTTTTTTCCCGAACCGATATTATCCAAATAGCTGCAACTATTATAATATAGGGTTTTAGCTCACTCTAAAAAGAGTTGGTACTATTTTGCCCATATTGGATTAAAATCTTGTTTCCCTGTTTGTAGCTAAAATGGGTCAAATCTAACCCGATTCTTATTTAGAGTTTAGACATACCAAAGTGCTCTTCATGCGTTTCGTAAAGTAGTATTTTCCCAAGATATTTTGCTGCATTTGATACATATGTGAATATGAATAGTTTTATTGCGCTCTCTAAGAGACATAGTGTTAAACAAGTTATGTATTAATATAGAAAAACATGAGTGTATTTTATCATTTTTGTTCATTAACCATGTCATCTTTACCTGTTCATACAAAATAGATTTGAGTTCAAGGTTGAGGATAAATCCTACCAGAAAAAAACATAATTGCTTGTGTGGAATATCTTGGCAGTTTTTAGGAATAAACGAATAAATCTTTCTTTTGATGAAAGTAACCTGTAGAGCGGGACCTATCCTTAAATTTGTTTGCTTGATGCTTAAACGCAGTTTTTCATTGTTCAGTTAATTTCTTGAAATAATGACATATTTTCATTCTGTTGCATTGTAAATGTACGGTCTGTGATGATGGACTAGTAAATTGTTAGACGGGTATTACTTGTGATTGATTTGTCAAAATAGCCCTGCGTACAATTTTGAGGGAGTTTGAAGTAAGGAAAAGAATAAACGGAGAAAGAAAATGGGTAGAAGAGGAGGGGAGTAGGGGGGGTAGAGATGAGAGAGAGATAGAGAGAGAGAGAGATAGAGAGAGAGATAGTAGTAATTGAGCGGGAGGGATAGATAAAGAGATGGAGAGAGAGGAAGGAGAGGAAAAGAAAGAAATAGATGACTGAGGAAGAGAGACAAGACATGAGAGTAGAGAGAGATGAGAAATATAGTGATTGGGAGGAAGAGAAAGAGGTGGAGAGAGGGGGTCGAGAGGAAAAGAAAGAAATAGATGAGAGAGGGAGACATCTAAAGACATGAGAGTGGAGAAAGATAAGGAGGGAAATGGTGATGAAGAGAAAGAGATAGAAAAAGAGAAGGAGAAAGGGATGGAGCAGGAAAGAAAGAAATAGATAAGAGCGAGAGAAAACTATATAGAGACAATGAGAGAAGAGAGAGATAAAGAGCAAGGGGTTGAGAAATGAATGGAGAGAGGGGGGAAGAAATAGGTGAGAGTGAGACGCAACTAGAGACATGGAAGTGGAGAGAGATCAAGAGATATATAGTACTTGAGATGGAGGGATAGAGAAAGAGATGGAGAGAGGGTGGAGAGTGGGGTAAAGAAATAGACGAGAGAAGGAGACAACTATAGAGACATGAGAGTGAAGAGAGATGTAGCGATTGAGAGGGAGGGATAGAGAAAGAGGGGGTGGAGAGGGAAAGAAAGAAATGCCTGTGAGAGGGAGACATCTAGAAACATGAGATTGGAGAAAGATGAAGAGAGATATTTTGATTCGATTTTATTTTATTCACTTCTTCATTCATGTAAGTACACAGTTTTTCGATAACAATACTAATATAAAGTACAATAAGTATTTTACTGACAATGAAACATGAGCAAATATATATAAAAATTGTTAATTTCAAAAACGAAATAATAAACTGTCATAAATACTAAATTTCCTCAAACATAACATTATTTGCGGAAGAAGGACTGTCATAGTAAGCAGATTGCTTGATAATACGACATCTGACCGTAATTAAATGCCTAAAACCCCTGAGCTTCCGGGAGCCGCCCCTTGACCCCCCCCCCCCCCCCCCCGGTGTTTTGCCCCTGTACCCAACGTCATGCAATTTACGCTCCACTCACTTCGCTCGCTACGCTCTACCAGATCGTAGATACTTTTACCATGTAAATCGTCATTTCACTGTTCAAAATGAAAGAGCTTCAAGGGGGCTTCGCTCCGCCCCCCCCCCCCGAGGGGCTCTTCCCCTTCGAACACGACCCCACTGAAACCGTACCACTTTAAAATTATTTTCGACGTGCCTGGCTGTGAAAACGGCCTTTTTCATGAAATTTATTTCAGGGCCTCCAACAATCATCATATTGAAGACGGATTACGGCAATCAATCCTCAGACTTCACAAATTATCTGACTTAACGCAATTTAAAACTGGCAAATGCAGGAATTTTTCGTTGTTTTATTAGCCATTTTAATACGGAATGCTTAAAGCAATCGTATAAAGCAAGTGAACAATATACAAAGAGGCAAACTTTTGTTGAATTTCAATAATAAAAATATACATTTAGTTGCAAAGAAGTACTAAACTCAAAGCATTTGAAAAAGTGACAAACGTTTTTTTGTGTGTGTGTTTCGAAGATAATAGGCAATGCTTAAAGCTTAAAACTAATACAATATTCCAGGGCCGGGAGCTGAACACTCTACCACCCCTCCCTAAAAAAAACCACACACACATAATATACATATACATTTAAGCTCTGTAATTGTTAGGTTTCTCCAATGGTAGGTTTGTCCAATAATGCCGAGTTTGTGCCACGGAACTTAGTCGGACATTTCGATTATATTCTTTTTATGTCCTACGTCTTTATCTTCTTTTCTTTCTTTTTTTAAATATTTTTTTTATAGTTTAGTCTACCTTAATTGCTGATACCTCCTCAATATATATACGATAGACTATCATTAATTCTGCTGCATTACCATATAGCTTACTTAGAGGTTACTGCAGATCAAATCAATTGATTCATAATATATTATAATCAGTTATTCATTTTTTTTTAATTTAAATTAGTTTGATATCGTAAGGTTATTCGATCTGCCCTTAATCTCCTTAATATTCTTGCACTTATTTCGAAAAAAATCTTTGTTTCTCTACTATAATCAGTGTTTTATCACAGCACTGAATAGATATAATCAATAAAGTAAGGTAATATTTTGTTGGTTCAATTAGTACTCTTATCATAAGAGTAATTGTAATCGCCTCATTCTTTTGATAATTGTTAATTGGTTTTGCCATGCTTAGTTGTAACCACTGCCCTGTGGTTCAGGTTCTCTTTAGAATCTAACTAAGGCTAAGGGAGCAAACCCTAACAGAAAACCATGCCACCGTGACAGCATTGAGGGCGATTGACGATACGGAACTCCCGACATCCTTCGACCAGTCACTGCAGGGTCTAGTGGTTCACACCCGTCCTGGTTTGTCCTCGCCGGTGTGAAACTGCCACCAGTTCCCCGAGAGAGTGCCGGTAGTAACTTGCAAGAGCTACCGGTACTTATCCACCTTTGCAAGCAGCCTTCACTATGCGCAACAGTATGAAACTTCATACCGGTTCGGTCGTCTTCCGGGTTAACAAGGACCGCGCTGTTAGATCAGGACTTCCGTCGACAGTGCCAAGTATGCTAGGAAGTAAACAACAACAACAAAAAGATGACACCAGCGGAATTACTACAATGACGTTTGGACAGTGGAATGTCGGGACACTCCTCGATCGGGAAGGAACTGGCAGGCCAGAGAGAAGGACTGCCCTTGTAGCCATGGAGCTGGAGAAGTACAAAATTGACATTGCTGCTCTGAGTGAAACACGTTTCTCCGAGTCAGGTAGGCTCGATGACATGGGCTACACATTCTTCTGGAGCGGCAAGCCGGACGGGGTACGACGAGAGGCTGGAGTGGGATTCGCCATCAGAAAAGAGATCTTAGCGAAGCTCACAGAAATGCCTAAAGCGGTGAATGATAGAATTATGACAATGACAGTACCACTGATGAAGAAGGGAAATGCTACTCTCATCAGTGTATACGCACCAACCATGACGAGTCCGGATGAAACAAAGGAGAACTTCTACAATCAGCTTAGACGAACGTTGCGGGACACCCCCCGGACTGACAAGCTGATATTGATGGGAGACTTCAATGCCCGGGTAGGACGAGACTATGAGAAATGGCAGTCGGTGTTAGGCAGGCACGGAATCGGTAAATGCAACACCAATGGTGAGCTACTTCTAGCGCTGTGCTCTGAGTTCGAACTCCTACTGACAAACACCGTGTTCAAGCAGAGGGAAGAACACAAAACCACCTGGATGCACCCTCGCTCTAAGCATTGGCACCTGATTGATTACATCATAACAAGACAACGAGACAGAATAGATGTTCACAGCACAAGAACTATGCGTGGAGCTAACTGCTTGACCGATCACCAGCTACTAAGATCAAAGATTGCATTTGCTTTACGTTCAAAGCGTAGGAAGCAAGGAGCTACTAAACTTGCAAAGCTGAACACAGACCGGCTACACGTCAACACACAACGGCTAAAGCTAGAGCAAGATATGGAGAAAGCTCTGGCGACTTGGGGAGTGCAAGAGGGAATGACAGTTGATCAGACCTGGGCATCACTCAGCAAAGTAGTATATGAGACAGCGAGCAACACCCTCGGTAAACCAGAGCGAAAACACCAGGACTGGTTTGACCCAGAAGACTCCGAGCTTCTGATACTCATGAAGAAAAGGAATGAAACACACCAACATGTATTACAGACTAGAAGCACCAGGTCAACCACCACCGCGTACAAGGAAGCCTGCAGACACTTGCAGAGGTACACACGGAAAATGAAAACCACCTGGTGGGAGAAAAAGGCAGAGGACCTGCAGCGCTCCGCAGACAATAATGACATGAAGTCCTTCTACACTGGACTGAAAGAAGTCTGGGGCCCCCAGACTAGGAGTACAGTTCATCTCAAGTCCCTGGACGGTAACACAACCTTTTCAGACAACAAAAGGGTGCTTGAACGATGGTCGCAGCATTTTGAGACACTACTCAACCAGCCAGGAGATATCGAGCCTGCAGCGCGTGATAGGATCAACCAGCGACCTGTAGTTACTGCACTCGATGATATTCCAACACGAAAAGAGCTAAACCTGGCAATTGCCTCCTTGGGTGATGGCAAGGCACCCGGAGTGGATGGGATACCAAGCGAGATATGGAGTCGGAGGAGCCACACTAACCAACAGTTTACTAATGCTGATACAACAAGCATGGGCAGAAGGCTCCGTACCTCAGGATTGGAAGGATGCTAATATTGTCGCCATCTTCAAAAAAGGAGATAGAACTCAATGTGGAAACTACAGAGGAATATCACTATTGTCAATAGCAGGGAAAGTTTTTGCCAGGATCCTTCTTAACAGATTGAATACCCACATAGCACCAGATATATTGCCGGAGACGCAATGCGGATTTAGGAGCAACCGCAGCACAGTAGATATGATATTCTGCCTCAGACAACTACAGGAGAAGTGCATTGAGCAAAACCGATACCTCTATGTGGTTTTTGTCGATTTCACGAAAGCCTTTGACACTGTTGGTAGGACAGGTCTTTGGGAACTACTACGAAAGTATGGATGTCCCGAGAAGTTCACCGGAATGGTAGAGTCCTTACATACGGGTATGATGGCTAAAGTCAAGGAAGCAGGCGAAAAACAAGGATGTGTGTTGGCCCCTACGCTGTTCTCCATCTTTCTCTCGGCGATGCTGGAGGAGGCTTTTGCGGACTTTGAGGAAGGCGTTTACATACAATCACGTCAAGACGCCGACCTATTCAATGTCGCACACTTCAAAGCTAAGACGAAGTCTAGACAGATTCTCGTGAGGGAACTCCTCTTTGCAGATGACAGTGCTCTTGTTTCTCATACACCAGAGCAGATGCAACATGTTATAGATGTATTTTCATCAGCATCAAAGAAGTTCGGTCTACAAATAAACATCAAAAAGACTGAAGTACTATTCCAACCAGGTACAGACCACCGAGAGGAGGAGGAGATCCTAGTGGATGGGACAGCCCTAAACCAGGTAGATGACTTCACTTACCTCGGCAGCACTATATCCAAAGACGGACACATCGACTCTGAGCTGGTGAAAAGAATGTCAAAGGCCAGCAGTGCCTTTGGAAGCCTGCGAACCAGGCTATGGAACAACCATCATGTCTCAACAAGAGTGAAGTGCAAAATCTACAGGGCTATCGTCCTATCCACTCTCTTATACGGTGCGGAAAGCTGGACTCTCTACACAAGTCAAGTAAAGAAACTTCACGCGTTCATGATGAGACACCTTCGAGCAATCATGAGAATAAGTTGGAAGGACAAGGTGACCAACAAAGAGGTACTAGAGCGAGCAAACCTTCCTTCTATGGAGGACCTGCTCATCAGGAAGAACCTACGATGGACAGGCCATGTCATCAGGATGCCCTCTGAGAGGTTACCAAAGCAAGTACTATTCTCGCAACTACCCGCTGGCGAAAGAGGGATTGGTCGTCCACGGCTTCGCTACAAGGACACGATCAAGAGGAACCTTAAGCGGAGGCAAATTGAAACCAAGACTTGGACAACTGCTGCAGGCCAGCGAGCTGTATGGAGAACAGCTGTAAAGTGAAAATGAAGGCGGTCATTGTCGCTTCGCGACAGACAGCTACTACTACTACTACACTTAAGCGAGGCACATTGCATGTAGAAAATGAATGCCAGAACTCCAAGCCCCCACCCGCTACCTCTACGATAAAAGAAAAAGAAAACAAAAACGTATAGGACCGCGCCTGGTTTCAGTAACCGCATCACAAGCCCTAAGCCCCCTTCCCCCTACCCTGAGAGACTCGGGATGATTTCGGTCTCGTGGGCCTCTTGATAACGATGCAGTTGGAAGGTTTACGTGTATGTCCACAAGAGAACACAAAAATGTCGGTAATACGAGCATCGATTTTGATCAAGTGTGTAAATCTTTTGACAACGAGACAGAATTAATTTTCTTGAGACCATAATATGGCTTCACCCATCTTATAAAAAAAATGATTGACTGTACATTCGGTTACAGATCGGTGACTAACCATCTTAAGTCTACCGGATTTTACACGCAGTTTAGCATGTGGACTATGTCCAATGCAGAAAATCTACAGAGTTTGACAGATAAATCCTTCTGCTTTAATGAGTCCTTCAAACATGTTTTGACGCGCTCCTCCAAGGAGACAGATTCAGTGAAGTCAGACGTAATCCCCAGCGGAACATAACCCAGGAACGAAGTAGACTGATGTTGTTGTCTCTCTACAGACCTGACAGAATGAGCAAACTCGAAAAAAATTCTCTCTTATACCGCTTTTGGTTGGTTACTACGAACGGGGCAGAACGAAATTGTCCGCAATCCTTGGCCCGTACTGAAAAAGAAAAAAAAACAGTGTCAAAAGTTGCGAATAATTCCGAATAATGCAGAAAGTAAGAGAAAAGAGAAGGATGGAGATTTTGCCATCTTAAGCGTTTGGTCAGGGATCAAAACTATCTCATTCCCACCCCCATCCTACCATGATAGAATCCATTGAAACAGTCAATAATATCGATACAAGTTAGGTAGATGTGTCAATTTCCAATTTACATGGCATAATAATAAACAATTATTCCTCCCAGATAGAGAAGTCATTCAGTTTGACATAGGAAGAAGACAAAGTATTTCACGAAGTAAATCTTTCTCTTCTCTTTTGTTTTTACCATTCGAAGGATGTGCCCCATGCAGTACCCCTTCTATCTCCTCAAACTCTTACCAAAGAATATCCCGGACCTTTGTAGAATAAAGTCAGCATTAGCGGCCCGCTTTGTTCGCTCTTATTAATTTCTTGATTCTCTTCTTGTGGTTGGTCTTGTTGGATGGCGAAACGAGAAAGCTCTCCTCCATATTGCAAACAACAATCAATCCTAATAAGAAAATAAATAGAAAATGAAAAGAAAGTTTTATGTTCTATAAGGTACACAATGTATACATCGAAACTTATAAGATATTGACATCGTTGCTTAATAATAACCTTTCTGAGTAACTGATCTGATTTGAAAATCTGATTTATACACATATATTTAAGAAAAATGTCAATCCAATAGGATATAAACTTCTGTAAAAAAAAAATGGGTATTGACTGTGAATTCCATATTACAAACTCACCTCAAAATCATAATAGACGTAAATTCTCTGATGGCTGTGATGATTTCTATCAAGTCTGATTCGTTGAACAAACAGTCTGAATAACTGATGATTTGGAGTTGCAGCATCATGCCACTCGTCTTCAACACATTTTGGATAAAGTTTTCAACAGTGTCACGTGACACAGTCTTGCATGCCCAATACGGCTCAAAGGTCATATTGAGAATTTTCAGTTGGACACCATTCTTCACCAATCCGTCAATGATGGCAGAAACGACCTTATCGAAGTAGGTATCCTCTAACAGAGAGGCCTTTATGTCACTATCGTCCGTGTAATAATTGTTCGTGGCAGATACGTAAAGTTCTGAAATATTTGGTAACCGGGAAAGCAGTATTGGAAAGGCTTCCACATTAAATGGGATAGGTGTCTCGAAGGTCTGCACAGACCAGAGAGGCTCTAGATGTGACACATGAACGGTCTCATGAACAAACATTGCTAAATGATGCAGCTCATGGAGATTATGGAGGACACCCCAAACGTCGACAAATTCAGGAATCTAAATGACAGGAAAAAGTGAACAAGAGCATTTAGAAACGCAGGTAAACGTAGGTATCGGACCCAATTCGTTGAGTTGACAAGTCATGTTCGCCAAGAATCTTAGTTCCAAACATAAGAAAAATAGGGTCAGTTTTTGTTGTTGTAATTTGCCGGCACAGGCTCCAAAAGGACAGTTTTTACGACAATTAGACTGTTATGAATGGGGAGGTGTCTATCTTTTTCTATTTTCGCTCGATATCCCTGAATGTATAGATGCCTTGTTATTCTAAGAGAACTTATATCATATTCAGTAGGCTTGCGGGTGCACCATGTGAGACAGAGAGAGAGGGTTGAGGAGTCCTGAAAAAGACTCCTCAATCCTCTCTCTCTCTCTCTACGAGTCAGAGTCCTTTTCAGGACTCCTCAACCTTCTCTCTCTATCTCACATGGTGCACCCGCAAGCCTACTGTATATCTACATCACCATGCAAGCCGACACTTACAAGCAGCATCTAACTTTTATCATGTATAATTTATTTTCATGTGTGGTTCACTTCTGAAAAGGAGTTTTGAAGACGAGGGCAAGGGTGATGCCTCTGCACACAAAAAAACAAGAACTCCCTGTTTCGAGTAAAACCCTTAACAAACTCATAGGCCCGAATTCACAAAGGAGGTTTGTCGACAAACCTCGGTTTGTCGACAAACCTCCTTTTGTTTCGACAAACCTCCTTTTGTTTTTTACAAACCAAGGTTTGTAAAAACGCGTCAAAATTACGCGTCATAATGACGCACATAAACCTCAGTTTGTCGACAAACCTCCTTTGTGAATTCGGGCCATATAGTCGGGTGAATGCACTTCAAAAATATGTATTTTTACACCTAAATTGGACTACATGACCAAGCATCACATTTGTTACCGCCTTGGTGAGTTTCATTTTACTCGATGTTATTTAAACAAAATCACTTGAACGAGTATTCTCAACTGGTGTAAAAAAAAGTGAGTAAACATGCTCAGTTTTCGATGAAAATCATGTTAAATGAGTAAATCTACTGCATAGTCAGTTAAAACCAAGTCATTAACGCATCACTGAGTTTTCATTAAACTGTGGGATATTTACTCATTGACTCGTTCTTCGAAAACTTCCAATGCTATGTTACTTGTCAAGTGAGTGATCTCACTCATTTCATGTGTATAGGATATAGAGTCGGAGAAAATTATCTACGAATCTGAGTAATGCGCCACGTGCGTGAGCTCGCGCATGCTAGCGCCAAGCAATGCAATATACATGCAATATACTGCAATGCAGAAGAATAGACTTCATAGAATCCATGGCTGACGTGGTAAGAGCGAAGACGTAAGTAAGAGTTTATTTCATTTTTATTTGAATACCCCTAAGTTTCTTTGAATGATGTTTGCGTTTTTAGGGGGAAAAAAGACGTACTTCTAATTGTTAGGTGAGCACTTATTCTGACATTGCTCCGTTTACTATAAGTTTGTTTGTTTTTTCTTCCGATTTTTGTTTTGTCCCACTCAAGTATTTTTGTGTGATCAACATAAGGTACCGTTGCTAAAATCAAAAATATATAAGCT